ATGCCCCGAATTAATAAGAAGAGCTTATTACATCTCAGATTTTAGCTGGTAGGATACAGGATCCCTTCGCAGCGGTCAGTCTAGGGAAGACTGAGCGATGCCCCAACGGATCTGTCACCTGGGAGTGACACAATCCAAACGCTCAAGCTCTTCCTATACCTGTCCCTTATGACCGGCTGAAGTTCTTTTAAATTGTGCTTGGTTCTGTCACAGCAACTGAAGGAGTCAGGTTGAAGCTTAAACAGTTACAGGTTTATTAAGGAAGCTTATAAATCATATGGTTACAATGGCTATTGCTCTATTTCTTAACTGCTAGCAAATATAGATCTCAAAAAATTGTTACAAAGAAAATAAAGATAGAAAATAGAAATAATGGTACCAAATGACAGCTTAATCTTTAAAGAGCTCTATTCTATGTATGCACTAAAACAAAAGGACACCGACCGTTGGCTGACAGATATGCAACACTATCAATATACGGTGTTACCCTTTGGACTTTCCACAGCATTAAAGGTTTTCTCCAAGATGTTAGTGGTTACGGCCCACCTCAGATAATAGGGCATTACCATTTATCCATACCTTGACAATTGCCTTATCAAGGCAAGAAGTTGAGACAGAACCTATTGCTGCGCCCATCTGGTACAACAGTGCTTCCAATCACTGAGACTCCTAATCAGTGAGAGCAAGTTAGTCCTTACACCAACTCAGTCAATACAGTTCATTGGGTGTACCTCAACTCTGCCTCAGCCATCACTTCCCTGCTTCCTGTTAGGTTCCTGAGGATGTGTGAGCTAGTCCAATCGCTCCACATAATGTGCTGCTGCTACATGGACATCAGAACAAACTTTCACCAGCACTATGCACTTTTTACCGGCCCTCTTCACCCTACAAGACTGCACTAATGACAGCTTACCTTTCTGATCCAAAGTCCCTATCTCCATAAGACAAATTGCTTTGCAGTCACCTGCTCTGGAACAGCCCCAGGGATGTCTATTTCAAAGAAGAGGCGGTTATTAATCTTGGCTGTAATTCACGTTCTTCAAGATGAGTGGTCCTGGGGGTACTCCACTAACCCTCCCTTCCTCACCTCTACTTTGGAAAAAAAATATTTTCCACCAAGCTGGGTTCCAGATAGAGAAGCAACTGAAGGGAAAGTTGCCGCGCATGCATGACCCCAATGCACTGCTAAGAAGAATCCGCTCTGCGGTGCTGGGATGCACCGACACCTGCTATGGAGCACCCCCAGGGATGCTCATCTCGAAGAACATCAATTACAGCCAAGGTGAGTAACCTCCTTTTCATAGGGGTGTCTTGTAAGGAGATTTGGAATGAATCAGTATCACTTCCCCACCAATCTATTGAGTCAACAGGCCATCCTGTTTCCACTTCTGCTTTCCACATAAGGACTACTGTAGGGGTTTCCACAGTGTGAATTCTGCCAAAGGGTGAATTCTACCCTTAGGAAAAATATGGGTGAGGTTTTCAGGGGTACTTAGAGAAGTTCGGAAGCTCTATCTAAGCCCATTGAGTTAAATTAGACTTTTGTGCCTTACTTTAATCTGTACTTTTGAAATTCCTAATCAAAATAAAAAAAAATTAGTTTCTATTTCTACTACATTTTAAATATCTGTATAGCCATATCTAAGACACTGAATTAAAATAGACAAGGTTTTCTTCATAGTAAAGAGATTTTGCTTTCTCTCATTTTTTTGTTATGAGTTGTCTATATGCATTTATTCTTTTCAAATGTTTCAGAGGAGTAGCTGTGTTAGTCTGTAAGGCTATGTCTAGACTACGTTCTGTTTTTGAAAAAGGATAAGCAAATTCCACGGGATTTGCATATTTCCGATCTCACTTTCAAAAGTGGATCTTTCGAAAGGGAAAGTAGTGGACGTTGAGGGAGGGGTTATGCTTTTTTTTTGGAAAAAGGGTTTTTTCCCGAAAAAAACGCATCCAGACTCTGCTTTCAAAAATGAGATCGAAAGAAGATATGCAAATTCCTGCAGAATTTGCATATCCTCTTTCGAAAATAGAATGTAGTTTAGACATACCCTAACTGAAAAAACTTTAAGAACTATTCATCATTTTTTTAAACTTCTTTTAAAATGTTGGCTATGTTGTTTAGATCTGCAGTGCACCATAAAATGAAATACGTGTGCCATATAGTGTAAAGGTAATTGAACACAGAGGTTATTTGCTTCTGTTTCTAAACTAGATATATGACATTTTCCTCTGATATATTTAGTTACTACTGCTCTTTCTATGGTCTTGTACATTTTGATCTTCCTTGGAAGGCAACATGAATGCTTTTTAATTACAGCTGGAATGAGGCATGTTGTACATAGTTGCAGTGTGATTAATGATGATCCACTGCTCTTTGGTTTAAGTCTGCTACAGCCAAACAAGTCCGTGCTGTCACTTTGGATACTCACGTGTTTAATATTATTTCATGAAAGCGCCTGCTTTTAATTAGTCACTAAATCTGGCCTAGTAAGCTGAATTTACTGACCATAATTTAATTAGCTAAGTTCCTTTCATTGGCCCTTCTGTGTCCATATTCTATCTTTCTGGAGTACTCTTCAATGCCGGAGATTCTGGTCACTATTTCTTTTTTGGAATTCGTTGTTTTGATGTACTGGGAAAAAAAGCTATGTTACTCTCTAGCTTTTTGTTGGTGTGACAAAAGAGCACTAGTTCAGCCTATCTCTATATTCCATTCTGTGCACATTATTTTTACTGCATGGAATTGAAGGTGCAAGGTTTTGTTAAATGATACATTGAGAATAAACACTTTTAAAAATATGATGATGCTAATATATTGCTTATGGAATAATTACGTTATAGATAAATAGGAGGATATAACAGATGAGAATTTGAACTGTTTAGATCAGGAGTGTCCAAACTTTTTTCAAAAAGGGCCAGATTTGATGAAGTGAACATGCGTGAGGGCCGACCATTTTGCCTGACATTCTTTGAACCATTAAAATTAAACGCAAATTAACTATTTTATGCAAAGTTTATTGCAAACGGCATACTTTTCATTTCGTCACATGGATGACAAATCTAAACAGGTGTTAAATCACTCTGCCTTTCATATCTGAAGGCCAAATGAAAAAAAATCCAGAAAGCTGAAATATATGTCAGGAACATTGTAAAGTACATTACATATTATTGGTAATAAAGGTTGTCTGTCAACTTTTAAGTTCAAAAAATATGAACAGGAACATAACACCAAGTATACATGTTGTGTCCAAATATATTTATAACTGATTTAGACCAACTGACATTAACTGAGATTTTACAATGTATTCATCTCAATACATATGGATTCGTTGGGGGCCATAAAAGATAGATATTGCCAAATTACCTGTGGGGCCGTATTAAACCGGAACACGGGCCGCAATTGACCCGCGGGCCGGACTTTGGACATGCCTGGTTTAGATGAATCACTAAACACTTTTTTTAACTTCGCTACTCTTGGTAGTTCTTAATGATAGACATGTGCCAACATAACATATTTTAAACATTTAGAGTTATATGTTAACTGAATGGTTTGTTTAATAGATCCTCCTCCCTAGGATTAATCCAGACAGTCTGTTTTGAAGATTCAGACAAACAAAATTTGACTTTTTTGTGTTCCTAAAAGTGTCATTTGAACAGTACTTTTTCTTTTTGATGTAACTCAATATATTCAAATAAAATGATAAAAAATGCAGATACCGGCAACAACAGATGACCGCTGGTCATTGCTACTTGAGATGCTTAGGGTAGTTGCATGGACTCAGTAAACAAACCCGATGCAGTTAATCCAGATTTGGCCCGTTTGTTTTGCAGAATTTGGGTTTTGAGTCTACGGTCTACATTGCAGGTTTTAAGAGATCCCTTGTTTTGTGTATTGATATTGTCAATAATTTCCAAAATACAAAGGACTGTACTGTGACATAAATGTCTGTATACTAGGTGTGCTGAGTTCAGTTCCTATAAGAATCTGCAACTCTGCCACACTGGGACACAAACCATACTGGCTATAAATATATGGAAACATTTTTGAGGCAGACTTATGACAGCCATAAAGCATGCAAAGCCCTACTTGCTGTGCTCAGCTGCTTCTTCAGTTTTCAATCCTTAGTGGGTGTCTGTCCAGCATAGAGACTTTCGAAAAGGGAGCAAGACTGTGATCACACAGTGAATAATCTTTATTTCATATTCTGTTCTTACACTACAGAGTGTATTCTTTAAGTGACCAAGTTCTATAGAAAAAGGGTTTTGAGACTTGGAGCAAACATATGTTTTAGGTGGCAAACCATGTTCAAGAACTTCTGCCAGTGCAGAGTGATGTCTGACTAAACGTTTTCAAGCATTCATGTAGTTAGCACAAATTATAGCATGGTTTGAAGGCTCTGACGTGGACAAGCATTTCTTTTTAAACCATCATGCAAGCCAAAAAAACATAGAATAGGTTTGTTAAGTGACTGTTATTTCAACAGTCTTTTAGTGTAACGGTGCATGAAAACCATTTCAAAAACCATTACGAACCACAATGTGAACATAGCCTAAATAATTAGACATGTTATGAATGTTCAGGGTCTAGTGCCGCTCTGTGTAGGTAGCATTAATGGTTAGAGACTGTAAAGCAGCATATAATAGCCCCCTAGCTATCCCAACGTAACCTAATAAAATGTAAGAAATAAAAACATTGTAAAGCACAATACAATAAACTACCCTTGTTTTCCAGAAAATCAACCTAGAGAAAAGGAAGGATAGAAGGAATTCGGAATCTTCTGGAAGCTTTGATTGCAAATGAAGTCAGGATTTGGTTTTGTGGAAGGGAAGTCACTGAGTCAGAGAAACATAAATATGGAAAATGGTTTTCCTTGGTTGTGTTTATTCATAAATTAATTGTAAAGTATCTGGCCTATATCACATCAGTTAGAAATCTTGTGCCAAAGTTATCATTTTTTTGTATTCTTCAAGTAATGCATGTGGTGTCAATTTGACAGAATTCGGTTCTGGGCAATACATCTAATTTACTGCTGCAGAATCTCTCCCATCTACAACTGGCACAGAAGCAACTAATGAAAATTGAAAATGTTCAAACTAACAATGTAAGTTCATCATTTTAATTTCAGTTATCTGTCTGTCTGTCTTTCATTAACTATTTTCTAAAACAGGACATTCTTAGCCTGTTAAAACTTTAACCATCTAGCATAGATAGAAAAGGTTTCCTATATTTGAAAGTCTATGGAATAGCTAAGGAAAGATGGCTTAAGTCATTTACAGTACTTCTTGTTCTTCTTTATAGAAACCTGGTTTACTTGGAGAGCCTCTACCAATGTTACTTCAGACGGTATTGGGAACGGGGCCAGTACCATCATTGAGTGCAGACATGGGGAACCATGGAGAAGTTCATACATGTAAATTACATTTTATTGCATACTGTATCCGTTTTTAAAAATTTGCAGTTGACTCACTTTTTTTGCAAAAGTGATAATCAATAATGTTAACCTTATACTATAAGGAAGCCACTGTACCCTGAAATGTGCAATACAAGAGCATTGAACAAAAGAAATCTGTTGACTATTGCTGAATTGGTCAATTTGCATTGGCTGCTTTCACTACCTGGCACAAAGTCAGAGACTTTCCCGTGGGCAAACTTTTATGGAAAAAAAACAGAAGTGGAAACATAGGGTATGTGTCCATTTAGCTTCTAAAGCATGCATAGATGAGAATTAATGAGAATTCAGGCCCAAACATCTTGACTTCATTGCCTTCTCTTCCAGAAGCTTCCCATATTTTTGTTTTCCCTGGTCTGTATTTGCCAGGCATCCATTTCAGTATCTAAATCTCCATAAGACCACTGTCTTTTTGTGGCTTAAACATCAAAATCCAAACAAATTCCCAATAATTAACAGGGTATCACATATCCCCCTCCCCACACACACAGTTGCGTACATCTTGTTGCTAATTCAAGCCGATTACAAAGTTTATCATTTAAATCAAACAAGGATATAACTGAAGAGTCAAGAGTGAGCAAAATAGAAAAAATGTAAGCGGGAACAGGACACATATTCCAAGGAGAGGCTAAATATAACATACTTGCTGATTAACCCCTTTATGCTAGGAATAATCTTTTCCTCAGGCAAGCCAAATTTTGAACAGCAGCCTCTAAAATCATGGAATTATTTTTACATGATCGTTTTATTTTCATGACCAAATAGGGTCACACAGAGCATTTTATAGGCCACTTTACAGGCTCTGGAGAGATTCTCTCAATTTGAAATCAATTGAATTAATTTAAAAGAAAGAATTTAAATTAGTGTCATGTACTATGCCTGCCTGAGTTCCTTTGCCAATTTTTGTATTTTTATCATGTTTTCTTGTGTTCTACATGTTACTGTGTGAAAGACCCTTCCAAACAACTGAGGACAATGACTGACTATGCAAGAAAGACGACAAAACTGATTGTACAAAAATTTATGTTCTGAATGCACAAACTAAACAAAATAGAAATACTTTCTTCTCTAATCTTTGTTATTCTGTATATTGTAACTCAGAGGTAAATTGTTCAGAAAAGTGTGATTTTTTTATTTTAAATTTATCAGATATAGAAATTTGACATAGAAGTCACTTTATTCACTCTCAAATATGACCACGCAAGGTGGAACTGAATACATGTCTTACACATTAAGCAACAGTTTGTGACAAGACATGAAGATAAATGACCAAGCCAAGTAGAACTGCAGGGAGCAGGTAGATACACAGAACATAAATATTTGAATTCGGCCAGGACAATGGGGTTAGCGCCTTCGTCTCCGGTGAGAAGTGCCAGCTGTGGTTCACTTTATTTTTTTGTAGGTGTGTGCTTTAAGCACATTGCTATGTGATGCTACTCTGCAGTGTGTTTCAGTCCTTATTCAAAAGGCTGTGACAGCTACTAAATCTCTAATTCCACACTCTGAGGCACGTAGATGTTTATAGGAAGAGTCTCTCCTGCAGAAATATATAGACTGGCATAACGCCAACCTCTCTTGAGAGCTGAGGTGATTGCAGTGCAAAGTTGGTATATCTCCATTTTTTTCTAAAAGGCTTCAGACGGAGTGTATGCTGAGGTAACCTGAAGGACTGGCTGTTGGATTTGTTCTGTATTGCTTGTGCATAATGTTTCTTATGTGTAACTGCACATTCAGGCCTTGGTAGCAATCTGATTTTGTAATCCTTTTGTGCAATGTGCTGTACCACAGGTGTTCCCCCTGAAGTGTTGTGCGTGCACCCCGGGACTTCTCAACAGCTAGTCAATAGAAGGAGAAGGATAACCAAACATCTGCCCTATTCCCGGATGATGAAAAAATTGAGCAGGAATTCTCCATTGGGAGCAGATGGGCAAGTTCCACACAATCAGTTTCATAGAATTGTAGGTGAGTGGCAGTTGGGGAATCTTGAGCCTGCTTGTCTTCATTGTTTCTGTCTGAACGTGGTAAAACATGGCTTGTGCCTGAAATGCCCCTTTCATAACACATGAGCAAGAAGCACAGGCCTCTTAAGGAAACACTTGTAAATTGCTATGTGCATCTAAGATCAATCTTGCCATAGCATCTTCCCTCCCTCCTGGTTCCAACATTTGACAAGGGAATGACATGAATCCAGATGGCAGCTCTTAAATGTTTGAGCTCTAAGTGGACTATTTGGTAGGAATTCTTTCATGAATTATTTCTATATATTTCAAAGAAACTATCCTGTGCCCTGGTGCATTCAGGGTTCTTATACTTGTGCGTCTCTCCACCATCTTTCTTTGGGGTTTGGCACAAAGGGTTTCTCATTTCATAGATTTTTATGTGCCAGGTGAATGGTAGTTAGCCTGCAAACCCCCTTGGTATTTCATCAGATTGATGATTCACAAAAATTTCTGCAGAATTTCTTGCTTAAACCAGTATCTTCTCTCTTGCCATTCTCATAGAGCAGAATACATTCTGGAATTGTTTGAATATTTTCAGAATACTAATACAGGTTGAACCTCTCTAGCCTGGCACTCTGTGGTCTGACAACATCCATGGTCCAATATGATTTTAGTTAGCCGGATGTTCATTCCCGTGGTCCTATAAAGTTTGTTTACAGCTACAAGTACTGGCTCCCGGTGTACTGTGCTATTATTTAGCTCTGATTTACCTCTAAATGTCTTCTAAGAGCCCAGTAAGCAGTGGAAGTGTTCGTAATGCTACTAGACAATATTGAAGTACCGTGATTTGACAAATTATCTGGTTTGGCACTAGTCATGTCCTAAAGGTGCTAGACTAAAAAGGTTCAACCTGAACTCTATTTTTACAGATATTACCTATTTTTGGAACTGTTTTTTAAAATTAGGGTCTGAGTTTTTAGATTCGTTATTCCAAGGTGAATAAATCCCTCTAGTTGAGGAGCGCTACGATTTGTTTGTACTCACTCTATTAAACATTAGAGGTTTCATGTCTAAGTGTTAATGAATGTGACTTTTGGTTGCAAATTACTTCACATAGAGATGCCTTAGAGCTGTCTGAGAGGTCTCTGATTAGTATAACTTTATTTTCCTCCCACTTTTTTGGGACTACTATCAGTCCCACTCAAGTCTTGTTAAATAAATAATTTCAGACACAGTTACCTCATTTTACAATATTCCTGAACAAGGTTTGAATAATGCTCTTACTGCTGGTAAGAAGAGTTTCCCAGGTGAGCAGTAAGATATAGGCCACCAATTTCTGCAGAATTTGAACCTTCATTTAATAAAAAGAATTTCTAGCCCTTTTGGTTGTGAAGAAAATCTTCCTAATGTGAACTAATGTGTTGTTTTCCTGAGCTCACAGACAAATCACTCAGGTGCATCTGCTGCTGCTGTTCATAACTTTCTTAAGTCTCAGGCAACAGAAAGGAATCTGACCCTGGTCGGTTTCACTTATTAGCATAGCAGCTGTTTAAATTAAAAATAGCATTAAATATAGTTACAGTTTTCTTTTCTAGTTTTAGTTGTAAATTAAACTCCAGGTTTTTATTACTGCAATATTTCTGACCACCAGTATCATCTCTTCCATGACAATTCTGAAATAGACTTCTCAGTGTTTTTCTCGTCACTTAATAAAAACCACAAACAAAATGTTCTGATAACTCTTGTCTAACAGAAATGTTTCTCCATTTATGGTTGACTGCAGCACCTAATGTGACTCCAAATCAAACAATGGCAGCAACAGGGATGGGCATGTTGCCAGTCTTTCCAAATCAACCCTTTGCTGGACAAGCTGTGCCAGGGCAAAATAATACTGAAGATAAACAATCAACAGAAGGAGCTGGCTCAGGGTCACAGGCTCATCTTCAGAGCTTAACAAATTTTACTGCCGGAGGCTTGCACACAGGACATCCCCAACAGCCAAGTCAACCAAAAAGCACTGATACAAGTGCAAGGGTAAGAAAAACTAGACATAGATTTTGCATTTCCATATTCCCAGCCCCCTTTATTGTTGTTGTTCTTCAAGTTACAAGTTAACTGCAGTTGCTTTTTGCAGTATCTCCGCTGTAATATTTGCTGAATCATAGAATGATTTTATAAATCATTGTAAGGTCATTTCAGTTATGAATTACGGGAAGGAAATATTAATGTCTTTTGACTGTCAAAATGAATTAACAAAGCAATTAATACAGTAGCATTTGTCTTCTTGTACATGCCACTTTATATGTAATGATTAAATTAGCTGCAGGACATGCCCTTTTTAAGAGTTAAAAATTGAACTCTTGTTGAAATTCACTGTCTGTAAACTAGAACAGTGCCTCTGGTTCAGGATGCCCCAGTGTATGTGTATGATTGTTTCTAGTCTGCATCCTCTTAAAACACAGGTCAGGTTTAGTATTTATTCTTTCAAAGCTTGTGGATGCAAAAGAAAAAATTGGAATGCTCTATTAAAAACCATTAGAGATTCCCAGCCACTAACTGGGTTCTGTACATGTATTTATGTCAAAACATATTTGATTTTTATAGAAATCTCTTAGATTATTATGTTTTGATGTAAGTTTTCTTTGTTTTCTGATTACTAGTATCTCAGCAGTGGCTTTGGCTGCATTCTGTACATAGTTCTACATTTTCAGGCTAGCAGAGTGCTCCTTAGCATGTTCGGAATAACTGTGTAGATGCTGTTCTTTCTCTCTTCCCCCACTGGTCTTGAGCTGCCACATTTCACAACTATTGTATAGCATGCTAGTGAGAGCCCTGCTAGCCCTGCAGACTTAGGCAAGGTGCTCATATCCAATGCAGCGTGGCCATACCACATACATAAGGTGGCCTTTGGGCTCTACACCTCTTGCTCTCCTCTATAAACAGCTTGCCCCTGTTAAGGACCCCATAGCACCACAGAGAGGCAAAAACTAGAACAATAGACTCAGTCCACCACAGTTCCAGGAGCCCAAACTTCTAAGTAGTTTCACCTTTAACAAGCACTGCTAGCACAGAATGGCATTTTACATTAGTATATCACAGAAAATTCTACCTTTCTAAGTCAGAGTTCATCAATCCTTGGTTTGCCAGACTTGAGTTGATGCTAGTCTTCTGTCACATGCTTACTGTTAGCTTTTTTAATCTGATGGCTTTCCGTGGGGTTCTAAATATACTCGGGTAAACTTAGTTTGCAATTTCCCTCCTTCCCCATCCCTTCTTGGCTGACAATCTGACTGGCAAGAAAAAATATCTAAAATCTGAGCATTTCTATTCAGCTTTTTGGTGTCAATTTTAAGACCTGTGCTGCAAGACCTATGAAATCTGCACATTCTTAAAGGCATGTAGAGACAAGCACATGTTGTTGCTTTGGTTTTACTTGTGACTTGTGTGATAGCTGGAGAATGGAATGAATGACAGTATATAACATTGTTACAGATTCCCTCAAAAAAACAGACCTCGCTCCTGGGGGAACCACCAAAAGAAATCCGTCTTAGTACCAATCCCTACTTGAATTTGGCAAGCGTGTTACGTGGTGTGTGTCTTTCGGGTAAGCAACGTTTGTCTAACAGCTTGTGATTCAATTTAAAGCTTTCTGGAGCAGAGTGTGGTTCAGTTGTTTCTCTGCTTACTAAACAATCAGAGCATCTGTCATTAATAAATCCTTGGATTCTCTCTTTCAAAGAACTTGAACTCAATACAAAAGTAAATTGATATAATCAACTCTCATAATTTTCTAGTTGAACAATACAGTTTATATGAGTATTTATCTCTAAAGAAATATTCTGTACTGCAGTAATCCTAATACAAATGTTCAGAATTATCATATTTGCCAAAATTCATGTATATTCTAGAAAGGCAATGGGCAACCTAAACTAGTGAGTGGGCCACATAGTGGCCCTCCTCAATCTCAGTGGGCTGCAAGATTGTTGTAACCAACTCTTCTGGGACAGAGTAGTTTTTCTAGCTGCACTTACACACCTAGAATTAACTGTGTGTGCCAACTGAACCATAGCAACACTTTGATGGGATGCAAAGGGCCTGTATGGCTCTCTCAGTCAAGATTGTGTGCCATCAGCATGCACCTCACTTCATGTGCCCTTGCTTTATATGCATGTTACTTGACTATACTGGTAGGGAAAAAAAACCCTATGCAGACGAAGCTCAGCAGAATTTGGCAATCCTGCACATGGGCGATGGTAAACAAAATGTCTCACAGGGCTAACAGAACCCTGATGGCCTCATCAAATGTAAGACCTTTTATATTTTGGACTAGATTTTGATGGCAGTTTAAATGTGTAATGTGTTAAATGTGTAAGTCTGGAGGAAATAGTTACTCAACTTTCAGAGGGGTAGTCGTGTTAGTCTGAATCTGCAAAAGTGACAAGGAGTCCTGTGGCACCTTATAGACTAACAGATATATTGGAGCATAAGCTTTTGTGCATCTGACTAAGTGGGTCTTTGCCCACGAAAGCTTATGCTCCAATACATCTGTTAGTCTATAAGGTGCCACAGGACTCCTTGTTGCTTTTACTCAACTTTGTAATTCTTGTTCTTCAACATGTGTTGCTCATATCTATTCCAATCAGGTGTGAATGCATCATGTGCACGGCTTCCGGAAAGTTTTACCCTAGCTGCTACCTGTGGGGTCAACTGTGGAACCCCCTAGTGGTGCCAGTGTGATGCACTAAATATGACCCTGCCAACCCAACTGCCCCTCAGTTCCTTTTGCCAACTACTCTGACACTGGGGAAGGAGGGTGGGCATTGAATAAATATGAGCAAAAAATAGTTACAAAGATAAGTAACATTTTTTTTCTGCAAGTGCTTTCTCATATCTATTCCAGTTGGATGATTCACAAGCCTTGCCCAGGAGAATGGGTCAGAGTCAGAGCGTGGCTGACTGAAGGCCGCTTTCGGTTAGGATTGTTACACGATGGCATAGTGTGGTGTGTGGGTATGTACCAAAGACCAAGTTGCTGCTCTGCAGATTTCCTGGAGTGGTACATGAGCCAGAAACACCACCGACTTGCGCTTGCATGGAATGCACTGTGGGAGGTGGTGGAGAGACATTGGCCAGATCATAACATGCACAGATACATGCCTTGATCCAGGAAGAGATGCATGGCAATGATAGAAGTAATCTCTTTACACAATCTTCCACTGCCGTGAACAGCTGCAAGGACTTGTGGAAGAGCTAGGTCTGGTCGATGTAGAAGGCGAGTGTGTGCCTCACATCAAGGGAATACAAATGATGTTGCCATAAGCTCTTGTGGTGCTTAGGGTATAACATGGAAGGAAAAAGCTGGAAACCACTTTCAGAAAAAAAGCTGGATTAGGGTGATTCTGGACGTTGTACTTATGAAAGATGGTGTACAGGGGTTCTGACATCAGGGAGACGGTAAAGCAGGGAGCGTGTGGCCAGGGGCTCAAAGGAAGGACCCATGAGCTCTGAGAGGACCAGGTTGAGGTCCTAAGCAAGGACAGGGCACCAAGCTGGAAGGTGAAGTCTGTCCATACCCTTGAGGAAGAACCCTACCAAGGGGCTCGAGAAGACAGAATGACTCACCTCCCTTGGTTGAAAAGCCAACATGGCCGCCAGGTGCATCTTAAGTGATGAAGTTGCTAAGCCTTGCTGCTTCAGGGACACCAACTACTACAGTAGCCGAGGAATGGAGGTAATCAAAGGATCCAGGTTATGCCGCAGACACCAATATGAGAAATGCTTCCATTTGGCCAAGTATGTGTGCCTGGTAGAGGGCTTTCTGCTACTAAGGAGGACTTGTCAGACCTGTTCCAAGCAGGCCAGCTTGACTGGGTTTAAACACAAATTTTCCATTTCGTGAGGTGAAGGGAGCAGAGGTCTAGGTGGCAAAGAAACCCGTAGTCCTGCAAAATGAGGTCTGGGGTGTGCACCTCATATCAAGGGAGGTCTTTGTTCCCATAAGCTTTGGGAGAAAAATGTTCTGCCCGGTGTGGAAGTGGGATGGGTGGTTGTACTGACAGCTCCAAGAGAGTGGGGTATCAGTGCTGAGAGGCCCATGCTGGAGCCATCAGGAGCCATCAGGTTAACATTCATCCTATCTCCGTGGAGCTTCAGGAGCACCTTATGAACCAACAGGAACAGGGGAAAGGTATACATCAGGCCAGTATGCCAGGTGATCAACAACACATCTGCTATGAACCCCAGACTGAGGTTTCAAAATAAGCAGAAGTGAAAGCACTTCCACTTAGCCCTAGTGGTGAAGAGGTCGAGCTGGGGAACCCCCCACTTCTGGAAAATGGTGTGGAGGATGTCTAGATGGATCAACCATTCATGAGCAAAGAAGCAGCAGCTGAGGTGATCCACCAGCTGGCTCTGGACCTCCAGGAGGTACAACACCTCAAGGTGAATAGAATGGGCTATGCGCAATTCCCGCAGAGGGGATGATGGGCTTCATATTGTCTGTTATGACCACCACACACCACCCCAGAAGTTATGGTAGAAAAGCTAGAGGGCTGAGAGCTTGCAGACGATATGGAGTGACAGTTCATCCATCGGTCACATAGCTTGGGTGATGAGGTCCCAGAGGTGAGTGCCCCAACCCAAAGCAGAAGCATCTGTAATAAGAGAGACTGGTTGTGGAGCGTGAAATGGACTGGCGATCATCACAAGGATCCAGCCACCACTGGAGAGTGTGAATCATGTGGCAAGGCACCATGACGACTACATTGATGCTGTCATGTCCTGGTTGATACGTTAACGCAAGCCAAGTCTGGAGAGATCACATGCGGAGTCTGGTAAACAGAACTACATATGTACATGCTACCATGTCTCTCGTGAGCTTGAGACATGTCCTGGCTGCAGTAACCAGAAAGTCAGCAAGTGACTACAACAGCTGGATTAGCACCATGAGTCATTCTAGCAGAAAAGTTGATACCTTGATGGAACTCAATCCTTTGCATGGGCACAAGAGTTGACTTGTCAGGGTTGAAGAGCAGGCTCAGTCTTTGCAGAGTAGCCTAAGTGAAGGCAACATGCATCTCCAGCTGTTGGTAGGAATGGCCCTGTAAGAGCCAGTTGTCCTGGTTGGGGTAGACTTGAACTACATGGTGCCTGAGGAAGACTGCCACCACTGCAATGCATTTAGTAAGCCCAAAGGAAAGGGCAGTAAACTGAAAATGGTTGTTGCTTGCCAGAAAAATGGAGGTAGCACCTATGTGATAGTTTGATTTCTACATGGAAGTAGGCATCCTTTAAGTTGAGGGCAGCATGCCAAACCTCCAAATTCAGGAAAGTGAAAATGGAGCTCAAGGAAACCATCCAAAATTTGTGGGTGGCTATAAACTTGTTGAATTCTCTGAGGGTCAGGATGGACTGGAGGACCCTCCCTTTGCCTCGGGAAGGAAGTAGCAGGAACAAAAACTCCTGCCCCTGAGGGCTGAAGCCCCAAGTTTCAGGAGCTTGTGCACCTCCTGAAGGAGGAGTTGCTCATGAGAGGGTTCCCAGATGGTGGGAGAAAGTAGAATAGGATAGAACAGTCCATTTCCACTGTCCAAAGGACCCAGTGGTCTGAGGTGATGCTGGCCCAGGCTGAGTGGAAACAGGAAAGTCGATCCAGGAAGGGATAAGGATCTGTTAGATTCAGTACTCTGTTCACAGACGTACCTTCAAAAGGCCTACTTAGAACCCGAGGAGGGCTTGTGCTGTCCCTGGTTTTTCGCAGAGCAATGCCTGGACAGCTTGCAATGGGGATATCAAGACCACCGATGCAAGAAATCAGTCCGGGGATGAGGATGGAAGGGCCTTTCCAAGGACTGTGGTTTAAAGGCCTTATGGTGCATAGAGGGTGTCTGCATACCCAGGGACTTCATGGTGTACAAATCTTGAGTTGAGTTGGTTTGCTTTGTAAAAAGGCCCCACCCCATCAAAGGGCTGGTCCTGCAGGGTTTGTTGGACCTCAGGAGGAAGGCCTGATAGTTGGAGCCAGACAGCCTGGCGCATGGCCATGCCAGAGGAGATAACCCATGCTGCTGAGTCTCCAGCTTCCAGAGAAGCCTGGAGGCAGGTTTGGGAAAATATTTTACCATCCTGGCCCAGGGCAACAAACTCATCTCAAGATTCCTGGAGCAGCAAGTACTTCAACTTCAGCAAAGAGTCCCAGAAATGATAACAGCTCAGAGGAAAGCCCCATAAAGGGGCCTGTTGGTTCGCTATCTAGAGTAGCAGTCCCCCTGTAGAGTGAACCTTCAGACCAAATAAGTTGAGGCGCTTGGCATGCTTCAACTCAAGCAAGAGCTGCAGGGTTTGAATCCATGGGACCTTAGCATGCCCCAGGTTCCGGAGGGAACACAGGCAAGAAGGGAAAGCTCTGCTGCTATACATGCTAACTAACTGCTAACCAATCATTTTTATGAAACAAACGCTAAATGCTAGGGATGTGTGGCACTTGCCATTGCAAGAGAGCCACAGTTCCAACAGCCATCTCTAGTGGTAAGCAGGAACTGAGGGGCGGTTGGGTCGGCAGGGTCATATATATAGGCATCACACAGGCACCACGCCAAGGGGCTCCACAGCGAATCCAAAGGGTAGCAGCTAAGGTAAAACTTTCCGGCAGCCATGTACACAACACATGGAGCAGCTAAGGTAAAACTTTCCGGCAGCCATGTACACAACACACGGACACCTAATTGGAATAGGTATGAGCAAGCCCTCAAGGAAGAATAAAAAATTCAGTTCTGACACACTATTCTGGGTTGACACAAATGTGTCCAAGATCAGTGTGTGGCCCTTACTGGTTCCACAGCATATGAAAACTGAATGTATTAATTTTGTTTTGAGCAGCAGTTGGCAGCAAAGCAGCTAGTACTCAGCAGCAGATGGGGCTTTCAAGCAACATGGCGGATGCTGCAGTCTCTCAGGGAACAACGCAACATGTAATGGAAAACTATTTTAATTATTCTCAACAGTATGGGGATTACACACCGGTATGTTAGCGAATAGTACTCTCCTTCCTGTAATGGGGGGGTTGGCATATTTTTATTGCTTTATTACTTCCAGATAACTGGTTACACCAGAGTTCCATGTGGTGATTGTGTTCTTGGACTAGGGCCTGTGATAAAGATATCCCAAGACATCTGTGAAGAAGGTGGTTACTTGACTCAATGGTACTATAAATGATAGTGCATTTAGACCACTTTTTATAACATTAGGAAACAGGATATTCTCACTCAGATCCTGGTGTCAATTTAGAGGACAAGTGGAGAATGAAGTCTTTTCACATGCTGTAAAAAAATAAATCCAAACCAATAAATCAAGTTTCTTAATGTGTAGTGGGCATCACAAACATATGCCATACTAGTTGAGGTTCAGCAATGTAATTACTATGTATCTTCTGGGTGAGTAGATTTTAGTGTGGTTAATCTGACATCTGTCACAAAACCACTTAAAACATATTTTAAGTGTTCTCTTGAATGTTTATTATTGGTTTTAAATGTGTGAGCTTTATTTTTAATTAAATCTAGGGCCCTGTGCAGGTCATGGGAAATTGCTATGAAGTAAAAGTACCTTAGTAAGCAGATGAAGTGAAGATTTTTTTTCATTTATAGGAGGCTGTCCAGCAGTGGCATCAGCATTATGTACAATCATACAATACTACTCAAGCAAGAGTAGGTGAATGCGTAAATGAAGCTTCTCAGGTAAAATGATTTTCCTTCACGTCTCCATTGTCTCCTCTTCTCCTTTAGCATTAGGATGCTACATATGTTTCGACACTACAGTAAACAGAAAGAACCAGATTGGGTGGGCAAAATGGTGTTGTCCCAAACACAGTCTTTGGCATTCCCTAAGTTTTCCTGTACCTAGGTTCTGTAACCTAAAGTTTTCACCAGATGCTGTAAAATACAACAGGGGTGCATTACAAACGCGCACCCTTTGCAGCCATAGCTCAAGATATGTGAACAAGAAATTATCAAGTTTCTTAGAAACTTGGACTCTAGTTAGTTCCATCTGTGTTCACTTAATAGCTACTGTAGTCAAGTAAATGTAATTTTCTTAAAAATAAATAATTTTGTTTTGGCCTTTGGTTTATCATGGATCCTCTTCTCCGTTTAGGAACCTGTTATATCATATGCAGACTACAATACTTATTTGCCGGTTATGCCTTCGTACTACACTGGAGCCCAGGGATCGTATCAGCCAGGCAGCTTTCAGCTTACTTCACAGATTCCAATAAACAAGGTGAGAGGAGTGATTTTAGACACTGCTGAATCTTGATTTAGGTGACTGTACATCTTGTCCCTTGCTGCCACCAAGTGGCTAAAAGATAAATAGGACTTTTGAAGATCTAAATTAATATTGTGCCACCTGCAAAAATGTTTGGTAAAGTTCGGGTTTATTCCAGTTTGTGGCTCCTAGCAAGTTAATTCCAAAGCTTTTCCATTTACAACTTGTTTGGGAAAGTCTCAGGGTAGCCCTAGCTTTGTGTAGGATCAAATCTAGATGCTGATGTAGTGTTAGTATAGCAAGCCCTATCTTAGATTACCTTGTAACAAATCTGGCCATGGATTATGTATTTTGTGTGTTGTTTGCATAGCATAAGATTTCATTTTTAAGTTTCCAAACATAGGACTGGAAACTTTGTCATTAGGTTCCATCCAGATAATTATAATAGTGGGAGGGGGGGAGCTGCTCTTCAATATTCTGTTTTCTAGTTAAAGCAGGAAAACTCCTACATGGAGCTGATGTTAGACAACTTGCTCCCAAGCTTGTATTAATGCCACATTCCATAGAAGGCACTTGGGGATCATTTCCTTGGCATGGACTAAACAAATATACAGTGTGCTGGGCACTCATACTTGTCTGAATCCTGGTACTAGATGATGATTCCATCCCTTGAAATAAAGAAAGCTCTTTATTTCGACATGCAAGCCCTGCACTACTTTTTTCCCAGCATCTTTAAATCATGTTTCAAGCCAGAATTTCAGACACACACACACAGCTCAGGATGTGGTATGTAAAAATAAATCAGGATAATGCTCTTAGTGATAACTATTAGAATTTCTATACTAAATATCTAATGGCATTTATGTATAACATAGAACACATCTTCTAAGGAAGGCTTTGGGTAATATAGCATCACAACAAATCCTGTATATTCTTCTCATACATGGAAAGGTTTTCTTTATTCTTGTTTTCTTTACTGTAAAGAAAGAGAGGATCGTATGGTCATCATTGTCATTGAGTTGTGTCTCATTACCACTAAAGGAAAACTTTTGTCAATTTAAAAAAAAAAAGTAGTTTCAATTATTGAGTGCTCTGTAATATTACAAAATATTCCTGTTTTTTTGTCTCCTCTTGCAGCGTGAAAGACCCACTCAAACAGGAAAATCTGTTACTCCCCCAAGTCAGTCAGCGAAACTATGTATGTAGTGCTACTTAAATATACATACTGAAAAAATATAAATTACTTTCTGTAATGTGCTTGTTTTAGGAATGTGGGTGTTCTCTCTGAATCAATAGTTGGTAGAATTTTTCAGACAGAAGTGAACTTTTTAAGTTGGCAGGGTCTTCTGAAGTTAAGATGGGATGGGTTTGCCATTATATTTGTAGCTCGAGGTTTATTTTCAGTAAGGGGGCCTTCCTCTGGTGAGTGTAATTTGCACTGTAGTTGAATTTCACAGGGTATGTCTAAACTGCAGAGTTTTTCCGGGATACCATTTCCTGGAAAAACTCTGCTGCATATCTAGGGAATGTGTCTGCTTTTTTGGAACAGCTTCCAAAAAAAGCAGGTGTGTTAATTTTATGAGGAATAAGGGATCTTCTGAAAGAGGAGGTGTAGACAGGCCAAATCTACCTGTCCAAAAAAAGAAGGTGGTACACAAATTGTGGCTCACAATTTGCATATCTTTTTCTGGAAAAAGAACACAGTGTAGACATAGCTGAATACTTCTGTGCATCTTTAATTAAAATACCACATTGCAGGCATGAGTTAGGTATCTAGATTTCTGCCAGCAGTTCACTTTGAAGAAGCAACTTACCTTCCCAGTAAAAAAGCTAAGTCTCAGCATGACTGAAAAGCTACACCTTCAAATCACATTTTAAATAGCAGTAATAATTCAATTTAATCATCTTTCCAAGACAGAAGACAATTAAATAGTGCTGTAGATATTTTCTTTAAAATGACTTTTGGAGCTGTTAGTGTACTGTGACAATACATTAAGTATCAGAGAATAGTGCAGTAATTGCAGCAAGATTTGTCCAATTATATAAAAAAAAAAGAAATATTTAGTTTAAACTACTGAGTGCAACTACTTCCATGAACCTTTCATACACTTGCCTGAATCCCAGCACTAGATGATGATGGCTCTGTTGCCCAAAATAAAATTATGTGAACGCACACAAACAAGTGTATCACTGCACATGTAGCTGGACTTTCTGAAAATGGTTCAAACTCTCAAGTGTCTCAGTAGCTACATATGCCTGTATATTAAGCCATGAGGAATATGGGGACATTGAGTTAAAAAAAGAAAGACTCATAAGTGAATGGAAGACAGGCTGTTAGCGAAGACAAGCAATTGCTATTAGCTAAGACAGTCAGGGATGCGCAACCCCATGGTCTGGGACAGGGACAGGGGGTAAAACAGTGGTGATTTTGAGTATTAGCCCCTGGCAGCCAGCACCACTATATGTATCTGAATCTCCACAGACGATCACAGTTCTCATTGGCTATGGATCCCCATTCCCAGCCAATAAAAGCTGCGGGAAGCAGTGAAGACTGGGACACTGCTTCCCACAATTCCCATTGACTGGGAACAGCGATCCGAGGCCATCAGGAGCTGTGATTGCCCATAGGTGCAGAGGTGCAGGTAAATATAGTTTTGTTGGTCCACTTGGGACTAACCCTGGCAAACCGCATCCGGCTCATTGGCTGATATTTGCCCATCCTGGTCTGCGGTCTGAAGCCTCTGACTGCCAGAAATTGGAACTGGTGGACAAGGGAGGGTTAACTCATCATTGCTCTGTTCCCTTCATTCCTTCTCAATTATCTGGCACTATTTATTCAAGAGACAGGATACTGAGTTAGCTGGACCTGTAGTTGGACCATTGATACAGGAAACTAAAGTCAGTGTAGGTGCATCTGTTTATAGCACACCTATAACATAAGCCACCATCTTCAGTTTGAAACTCTAAAAATATAAATAATGCTGTTTTCTCTGGCCACTTGGTTAGGGTTGTTACTTATTTTCTTTTTTGCACAGGTGGTACCAGTAAAGAGTGAAAAGCGAAGTTCTTCACACTTCACTTCTTCCTTGGAAGCTGGCTCAGTTGAATATATTGACCAGCACTCTCAGGGCACAGCATCAAATTAAGCAAAATCCTATCTAAAAAAAATAAAGTGTTTACTGAGATCCAATTAACAAAACCGGCCTTTAAAGCCAACAGGTGATTTGGCCGGTTTTGTTAATTGGATCTCAGTAAAGCCAACAGGTGATTTTTTTTTTTGTACCTCAGTGTTTATTACTGCCTTAACTTCATCTTTATATAGGGTGACAAATTTCTAAAAGAAACAATTCAGGCAAAATTTTCCAAATAAATATAGCAATAAAGACAACTAGTTGGACATTTTTGGCTAATTTTTTGTTAAATAATACAGAGGTGTCTCCCTTAATTATATTGTCTTAGTGTAAACTGTTGAAATTGACAATGTTTATCTTAAGCTTGCAAAGAAGTTTCCTTTGGTGATGTCAAAAGCAATGAAAATAGTGGCAAGGGGAACTTTTCACTTCTTCCTTAGATGCGGAAGTTGAGATTGAGTCTTAACTATAGTTTAAAAAAAACTCCCTGCATATGCTTTTCAGTTGCAACTTTTTCAGCATTGAGCCAGATGCATTTACAGCCTTTACATTTTAAAAATTATTTCCCAAAAACACTGGATACCAGATGTATTAACAGAGTATTAACAAGTGTTTCAGTAAATGGTTTGTTATATTGTGAACTTACCAGCATCGATCAAGAATACATTGGTGCTTGTTGGAACAAAAGTGTAATCTTAGCTATTGATACTCTTTTTCAAGAGATGGTGGTCATTGTTATAAACAGTTTTACTCTTTGTGAATGAATTTGTTTCTGCCCTAATCTGCTTCTTTAATCTGTGAAAAATACTAGCTCTTGCTAAGCATTGGATTTGAACTAGGGTGAGTCTCCTAAGAATCAAAAGCCACCCTCTACTTACTGACAAAAATTCAAAGTGCAGCAACAGTAAAACTAACTAAAATAAATGCAACCATTTTGTAAGTGGAGCAGTATACAATCAAAAAGAAGCTATAAATTAAACAGCCAATTTTGTTTTCTCTAATTTTTGGATTGTTTAGGTAGAGGAGAAAATGCTGCCTAGTACTAAAACACCTATCCCAACTGGTTTTGTTAATCCATGCGGTCTCCAGGTGTCAAATTTACTTTTACAATTTGCTTCAGCCATCCCCACAGCTCTTTTGAGACCCAAAGTTCTGAGTGTTCCCAATTCCCATTGACTGCAGGAATAGGCTCTTTTGAGACCCAAAGTTCTGAGTGTTCATTGACTGCAGGAATAGGTCTTTTTTGCATCAGCTAGTCTTTTTAGATAGGCCTAATCGCTGATCATTCAGTGTCACTGGCATTTATGAGTATGGTACATATGCATAGCATAGAAGCAGCTAGGTTTCTTATTTATACATAGGTGTATATATAAATAAACACGTCCATCCCTTTTGAACCTCTCCCTTCAGAAGTTTTTCATTGTCGACTCCTCCTGTCACCACTTCCTGCTAAGCCCCATTCTCTTATTTTTTTATACAGAGGGTCATTTTCTCCAAGGAATTACCTCTCCTAGTGGTAACTGTCAGCCAGAAATGAAATAGAGTGCTAGATTAAGTAGTCTTTTGCCTTTGCCTAGTGCTTTTCTTTGTTTTTTTTCCCCTCCCAGATTTGTGCACTGGCCTGAGAGGTTCATTCCTTGTCAAAGCTTTTATTTTTCTCTGTCTTTGTTTATATTAAATCTGATTTACCAGCTCCAAGTCTATCACCAAATTGCCTTAAATGCTATTTTTGTCTACAACTTTTGTATATTCAGAGGTGGAAATCTATGTTTTCGTTAAGATGTTAAATTATGAAATAAGATACTTGCAACTGACCATGAGAATTAACTTTCTTGCAATCCCTTTTTCATTTCACAGATGGGAAAATTGAGTTTCAATGGCAGTGTAATTGATATAATGCTGCAGCTATGTAATGGCTTAAATGTAATGTAATCTCTTTATAGAATTCTGAAGTTATCTTAAGTCATTTTTAAAGTTTAAAATGTTTCAAATCAGATGCAGAACTTTTTTAGAAAACCCAGTTGCTCTGCACACCTTCCTTAAGACAAAACAGCAATGCATTTGATATGAGAATTATTGACTTTGTTGAGATTATACATATATATGTATTGAGTGGTGTCAAATTCATCTGCAGTACTTCGTTAAAATTATTGTATCTGCAATATTTAAGAACATCATCCTTTTCAACAAAATAAATTACTGCTGAAATTGAAGTGGAATGTGTCTGAAAGGACAACATCCCTAGCCTACTTCCACTCGGTAGAAGTCATGATAACAGATCATTTTACAGTAATGTGCTGTTACAAAGTTTCAATTTTATCTTCCCTAAAAGAGTACCAGCTTTGCAGAGTAATTTATAATTCACACACACATGAAGGGGGAAAAAATCTTTATTAATTTGTATAAAGAGTAACAAAGTGCATATAGATTCTGCTGAGTTTAAGTAACACAGAGAAAAACAAATAATACTGTAAAAATTAATCCTGCCTGTTTGGGGTTCAGTTAATTACATTTATACTTTAAAGACATTTTATCAGTTATTGCCAACACAATGTGCCCTCTAAGAATTTTCAGAATCCAGGTTTGGGGAGATAATATTGTCTAAATTCAAACACAAAAGGGTTCCAGTTTGAATAAGCTCCCATCGATAAAAGCTTGCCAAGTTTACATAATGTGACTTCAGTGCCCTTGAGTCAACTGAAAGATCTGTTTTGGTGTATGTAACAAACAGTCCCAGACTGGCCCTACTGGTTAACTGTATATGTGGTAGATGACTGCACAGCAAGTTGAGTTCCAAATACTGTTTCTATTGCAGAAACTTGGGGATAAGTTTCTACAGCCCTATTTAATTTGTTTTTTTAAACAGATGTTAACAAATTCAAGGAAGTGCAGAACAGAAAATGTCTGGCCCAAAAAAAATGTAGCATCCAGGAAAATCCTCAGAATTACTCTTAACTCCTCTTATGTCAAAGCTAACCCACACATCAGTGGAGAATGCTTCCCATGGCTCATCATAGTAATGGCCTAGTGTACACATTTGGGAGGTGTGTTAAGAAAATAAGGTATTTAATTTCCCTTCGCCACTTTCCTATGGTGCAGCTCTCCTGCATATTCTAGAATAACTGTAATTGAGTTTATAGGATGCTATAAAAATGATGGAAGGTATTTATCTTAGGAGGTTTTGTTTTAGTTAAAAAAAAAGCAGCTATAAGAAGAAACTGGGCTTCCTGCACTGTAATGCAAACTCTCAAAAGCTGGCAAATGCTTTTTTGGAATATTTACATGCATATGTTTTATTTAATTTTTAATACACAAAAACTCAAGACTTCAAATTGTAGGTTAAAGCTGTGTGATTAGACACCATTGATGTAGATAGTGTCTGAACTGAATTTTATGTACCAGGAATTTTAAAAAATACTGGTGCATCTAAAGGAGAGGACTTTTTTTGCTCAGCCACCTCCCTTCCCCTACCCCCAATCTCCTTTCTACTCTCCTAAAAATTAATTCCATATTTGAAAAAGCAATTAAATTGCTATGGATAGTTCTAATCAATGTGCTTCCAGCTGATTAGAAGAGCACTCACAGCATGCGTTTCTACTGGTGGTGCACATAAAATTTATTCTCCACCTTGATAGAACAAATTAGAGGGAACATTGCCTATGGCCATCATAAATCCCCTTTCTTCACAGTTCTTTCTGATTTGTGTTAGTCCAGTAAAATCTGAATGATGGATCAATGAATAAACCTTTTCTAATAAGTAAAACTCTAACAGACGCAGAGTGCTTAAAGATTTTCTGCTGGAGGATTTATATGTTGATGCAAATGTTCATTATGCCAAAAAATAACTGCTGGGAAAAAAAAAACCTTAAATATAGATTAGCATAGGCAGAGTACAAACTATGGCAGTTAAAAGGACCTGGGCATTTCTATGTAACATACATTTAAAGCACTGACAATACAAAAATGTTAATTATAATTTATTTATAAGAGCCTCAAATCCTTGAATAAGATTTTGAAAGGTCGTCCGGTCACCTGGATTGTTTATCCAACATTTCCTCATCAGTTGGTCCACCTAGCAATGAGAAATGTTTTTTAAAAGGGTGAAGAATAGATTATTCATTTTCATTAAAGGACCAGCTCCTCAGCCGGTGTAAACTAGAGTAGTTCCACTCAAGACAACAAAGCCAGGAGGATTTTACACTAGCTGAGGACCTGCACCAAAGTGAACTTTCATTGCTTTTTCTCAACCCAGATGGGCAGCTACCTTTAACTTTAAAAAAAAAAAAGGATCAGGTATAATGTTATATGAGAACAGGTAGAAAAACCACATCACCTTTAGCTAAGGGTCCTTTTAGCATTGCAGGCTATATGCTGTACAGAACAAGACAGCCATAAAGTATTGAAGTGTAACACTAGCTCTGGGATCTAGTGACTAAAAGCTTGATCCACTTCTCTCTAACATCAATAGGAAGCAAAGAACTCCAGTGGGAGTTGGCTCAGGGTATGTCTAGACTGCAGGGGTTTTCCAGAAAAACTTCACCGCATCCAGGAAACGCATTTGCTCTTCCACAAAAAAAAGTGGAAGAGCAAACGAGCTCTTTCTGGGAGCCCTGTCTACCTCGTTCTACAAGGAATAAGGGCTCCTCTGAAAGACTAGGCTTTTCCGCCATTTTACCCCATCTAGACAGGGTGAAATGGGGGAAAAGCCTCTTCCGTAAAAAGCTACGCAAATTGCGGAGTGCAATTTGCATAGCTTTTTCCGAAAAAAGGCTATAGTGTAGACCTAGCCTCAGGCACTAATTGTTAGTTACTTAAAGGGGAAAAGAGTTATCCTTTAGCTCACATGGAAAAGGCCTTTGGTTAAGTTACTGATGGTCCCACTTTGACCTTCTGGTTAATGGGGTGTCTATATGAGCCTGAGTGCAATACACATGCATCAGTTCTATACTTCAGAAATCAAAGGAATATATAACAAATTATATGGAATTCAGATCTTAAAGAAGTTTCTGCTATCATGGAGTGTCAGACTTTGGAATTTCATTAGCAAAACATTTAAAATAAAGCTTTAAAAACTTGAAGGAAAGTATGTGTGTATTTGCTTAACAGTCTAGTATTTACCTCTTCTGGGCAGTTTGGCGGACGTGGCAAGCGTTTTCCTTCTCCTAATACACGCACAAGCCTTGTTACTGTCATCTGGCCTTGAGTTGGGCCAATCATTTTCAAAAATTCCTGTAACAAGTAAAAGCCACATGGATCATTTATTTACAATTCTCAACAAATGAATACAAGTTTAACTTGACATGAAAAATACTCCCTCTCAAAATGAAGACCAATAATCAACCTGCATTCAGAGAGTAGCATGGAGTATTCTCATTACTTCACCATCCCATTGTGAGACTACAGAAAACCCAATTTTTTAAACATGGCTTCTTTAATGTGGCACTTAATACCCACGTGTAGACATGCACATTTGTTCTTAAACAAGAATGTTTAGTGATGGTTTGAGCATCGAGATGGGAGAGTTCATGGTTGAAAAGAACCATCTGGGCCTTTTGTTTTCCTATGCTAGAGAAATTCATTCCACCTCTTGATTGATTTTGAATAAGCCATAACATAATGACTTAGGTCCAGTCTTTTTAAACAAAGCTCGAGTTGCTTTTTTTCCCTCTAAAATCAATGAGGAGTCCTGTAAGACCAACAGATTTTTTGGGGCATAAAAAACATTTCATGGGTCAAAACACTTCCTCAGATTCCTGTTAGTCTTTAAGGTGCCAAAGGACACCTTGTTTTTACAGATACAGACTAACGTGGCTACCCCTCTGAGACTAATTTTTGTAAAGATATTCATGAGCAGAATTAGTGCTGAATTAAAAATCAATCACTAAATATTGAATTAACATTTCCTTTCACAATCACTCACCGCCATTGGACTGGACTCTGAATCACAGTAGGTCAGTAGTTCGTATAGCGTCACTCCAAATGACCAGACATCTGAAGCAATATAAAACTTGCTCTGAAGCAGACATTCTGGAGCATACCTATAAATATAATGTTGCTCTATTACATTTCAGTAAGTGCTGCACAAGTTCACTCAAATACATACATACACGTCAGCTGTAAAGGTAAAACTGATAGCTTAACCAACATGCATGTAAAATAATTTGCCTATGGTACCATGAGTGTGGAATTCAGGAACATATGAGTATGTAAAAGGAATTATATGCACCTAGTCCTTCTCACCACAAGGCTCAAGCTGTTGCACAAGCCACTAAAATATACCATCCAAGTAAAGCCCTTATGAAGCACATCATAAAAGTGGCCATACTAAGTCAGACCACAAGGCATAAAAGTGGCCATACTAAGTCAGACCAAAAGGCTGTCTAACCCAGTATCCTGTCTTCTAACAGTGGCCAATGTTAGGTGTTTCAGGGGGTAAATGAACAAAATAGGTAATCAAGTGATCCATCCTCTGCTTTGGCATACAAGTCAAAGAAGAAATATAAAGTGTAATTGGAAATAAAGAAGTGTGGATGGCAATATGAAATTTGTGTGTTGTGCTTTACTTAACTTGGGAAAACACGACTTATCAAACCAGAAAGACAGATTGAGAAAGTGTTCATTGCCTGGAGCAGGTTAAATGACTACATTATATTGGAGTTTTTCCAGAGAAGGTTGGAAAAACACTTTTCAGAGATGGTCTAAATACTTATTCCTCCCTGTGTGCAGGGCACTGAACTACATGACTTCTCAAGATCCCTTCCATACTATGATTCTAGGATTACACAGGCTATTTAACAAAGTTAAGTTGTTGTATCCCATTACCAAAACACAGGACTGTCGAGATCATCTTTGACCGTGTAGTACTCCTTATTGGTTTCAATTACTTTGGTGAGGCCAAAATCCCCAATCTTCACTCGGTTCTCACTTTCAACTAGGACATTTCTTGCTGCTAAATCCCGGTGAACATACTGACGAGAGCCCAAATAATCCATTCCCTGAAGAAGGAAAAAAAAACAAACAGTTACACTAACTCTCCAGGTGCTCAGAGCCATGTTTTCCCCACCTCCTTTCATAAATCAGCTCACCAGCTTCTCTGCTACCTCACTCACTTGCTCATGTCTACTGGTGAGCTCTTCTCTCTTCCCCCTCCTCCACTATGTAAGTCTGTCTTCAGCTGCTCCTCCTTCTAAACTGGGCTGGGGAACCTTTTTGGGTTAGGGGTTCCTGACGCACAGAAAAATCAGTTGGGGGCAACACCCAACTGAAAAGCAAAAAAAAAACCCAAAAAACCCCAAACCCTCACACTGATGTGACCCCTGACTGAGGAGAAAGACACTCCCCAGAGCCTAGGGAGGCCCAGGCTAGTAGATTTTGTGTGCTCCAGCCCCACAGAGGGGAAGGGGGGGATAATGGGAGGTCTGGACTGCCAGTGCAGGCTCCACAATGCTGGGGGCGGGGAGAGCCCCAAGCCTCAGGGCTGAATCCAGGCAATCCATGGGCTGCATTCAGCCCCTGGGCCTTAGGTTCCCCTCCCCTGCCTAAACCCTGCCCTTGGCCTCCTTTGGTAGCCTGATCTGCTTTTCTGGCCTATGTTTAGTGTCGCACCTCGCTTCTTTCCAGCATCTATTCCCTAATGACCCATCTAAATGCATCTGAAATTGTATCTAATCCCACATCACCAATGCCTACTCTATCGTTCTCCCAAGCTCACGACCTGGCTGTCCCCTCCACTCCTCACTTGCCTAACCATACTCTTCCACTCCTGGAGTTGTGACCTCATCATTCCACTTACTCCCTCATTTTCTGCCTCAAGTGCACAATCCTTGTCCTCACTTCTGAAAGCCCACACAGCTTGCCTCTTGCCTACTGCTTAGCTCTTGTTTCAGCTCCTCTGTGCACCTCCCATGGTCTCCCTCTTGAATGCTACTTTTTTGTCCTGCCACATCTCTGCTTAGCAACTTGACCCTCCAACCCTCTTTGCTGGAACTGCCACCAGCTTTTCACATGCCAAGCGCCCTTCTTTCAGTCTTCAAAACCACTCATTTTCCAGCCGCTTGCTCTGTAGCGGTATCTCCATTATGTTTCAGCTGCTGGATACTTGGTAAGAAACACTAGCTACTAGAAGCAGGGAACTTGTTCATTTACAGAGCCTTCCCATTCCCCACCAATCCCAGCCCATGCTTTCTAAATACGTACAAATTAAACAGACACAGAGCACTGAAAGACTATTTCCAGGCTTACCTTGCAGATCTGAACTGCATAACGGAGCTGATGTTTGAGAGTGATTTTGCTCTTATTTCGTGGGAGATATTCCTTTAGGCTTCCAGATGGAAGAAACTCCATTATGAGTTTGATCCCACTTCCTCCTGAAAACAAGAATGAGTAAGAATGCTCATTTCCCAAAACTTCAGCTCAAATACTGATCCTACCAGGCTTGCTCTATAATTGGCACCTTAGTGGTATCTAAGGCCTTGTCTACACTAAACCCCACAGCCGATCTACTTCAGCTATGCAAATAGCATAGCTGAAGTCGATATACTCACTGCAGCATCTTGCATGCGGTAAGGTAGGTGTGGGCTGCTCTCCCATCGATGTCAGCTACTCTTCTCGTCTTGATGAGCTACCAGTGTCGATGGGAGAGTAATAACAGATTGATTTATCATGTCTAAGTAGATGTACTCTATTGAGGGCTGGTGGATCAATCGCTGCAGCGTTGATCCCCGGCATAATGTAGACAAGTCCTAAGGTACCAGGGAGGTTCCTATACTTGGAATTAACATTTATATTCCTGGCTGTATTATCCAAAGGCTACAATCAGCATTGTCAGCACACTTGGTGCTGGACGCTGTACACAATTATAGGAAGATAACTGGTTTCTGTTGCCAAATGCTGACTTTTTAAACTAGTGATCGTTGTGACAGCTGAAGAATGCAGAAATATTTAATATGACAAAGCCAAGTGAAGAACTCAATGTAAATGAGATCTCAGGAACAGCAGGGCAACACAATTGCTTTGGATATGAGGTACAGTTATCATTATGTCTATGTTTTCAAAATAAAGGCCCTATTTTTCATGGGATTGTAATTGAGACAGTTAATTGCACATTTCCTTTTTGCAAATGCTTATCGGATAGTTGACACACTAGTCAACTAGTCACTCTCCCCTCCCTTCCCACCCCTTGCTGCATCTATCAGAAAGGGGCAGCAAAGGGCCAGGGGGAGGAGAGAGAGAGAGAGAGAGAGAGAGAGAAGGGAGTGCTTCAAAGTGGCAGCACCACATGGAGCCCAGGCTCAGCTGCGGACTCTCCTGCTGACCCCGGGATCTATGTGGCACTGCTGCTTTGAAACGCTGCAGGGAGATGGGGCCAGCGAGGGACTGCTTGAGTCCCCAGGTGGCCCTGTGCTCCCAGCAGTGCTTTTGCCTTTGAAGTGTAGTAACAGCCATGGGGCTGTTGCTACACTTCAAAGGCAGAGGAGTCCTTATCTACTAATCAAACAGTTGATGCAAATTGGATCAACTATTTGATTAGCCAATTAATCTAAATTTAACATTCCTAGTGTGGGCACTTGACAGTTTTAAGAGTATAAGAACTGAAGAGGAGAAACTTCAGAGGGATTTTAACTTCTGTAACCCAGAAGTTAAAATTTTATATTTTTAATCTTCTACTCAAAAACTTACCATCTTCTATGCAAATTCCTTTGTATTTGACAATGTTTTCATGATAAAGATTCCTCAAGATTTCAATTTCTTTCTTCAGATCAGCGATATGATTTCCACCACTCTCAGGTTTCAGAGACTTGACTGCCACCTGCTCTCCTGTATTATCACCTTCTGGATCATACCTGCAGAGTTCAACTTTGCCAAAGTGACCCTGATTTTAAAAGAAAAAAGGAAACCATTTTGGACTGTGATCACAAGCCAGATAATGGTCAGTGCAGTACTTCAGGCATTTACAATTCAGGTTCTCTCATCATGCTACAGAAAGGGTACTTCAAAAGATGCAGAATGAAGATGTTGCTCCTCTGGTAACAAATTGACAGTGAATTTTGATCTCCCTGGGCTAGATTTTGCCTCAAATCTGAATGTGGAGTGCACCATGCTTGGCTTTATCCTTGATTATTGAACTTATGCTATCCCAGCTCCTGTGCAATGCAGGTGCCTGCAAATAATTCCTTTCTCCACCCCTCCAACAATCTGCTTAAAAGGGCAGAGCACCTCTTCTTCCACAAAGACTTCTCTGCCCTGGGACAATTCCTTGGTTGGCAGGTAATGCTGCTAGGAAGCAGTGTCAGAGAGAGACAAGGCTCAGTTATATCCCTGCTTCTTGATGTCATGGCCTGAATACGCCACTTTACTTACCTCTCCCAAATCTCGGATTCTTTTCAAAAACCGTTTTTCAAAGAGAGTAGGATCAACTTCAGCAAATGGTGTCTTCTCAGAGACAATATCAGGATCTGACATGGAAAACAGCATCAACACACTCCAAGTTAAACAAGGTCCTACACAGTCCCCTTATTTTTCGGATTTTAGGACCATCTTTACTCATGTCCAAATCTCCCAGTAAAAACTCTTGATTCACGTCTATCCCTACTTCAAGTGGCCACTTCTTCCCTGGAGCCCTCACTGATAACGTCCTGTTGTTTGCCCATCTTTTCTGCTACTTGTCTCCACCCCTTGCTCTGCTAAACTGCTGGCTCCTTGTGGGGTCTTCTCCAAGATTCAGATTTAGATTCCCAGTTTCCCTACCTACAGAAGGGGAAGATTATTTTAGGTAGTCCCACACACCCTTTCCAGTGATGATATGAGGACTAGTTTTTTTTAGTGTTAGAGCACTCTGAACAGAACATTTAACAGACTAATGGTAAGGCCACACATACAAGTTTCCTTTGAATAATGCCCTTTAGTAACTGCTGTGCCAACATCTGTGCCCCGATTAAGACTCCCAGATTATTCCAGTCTCAAAACTGGAATATGACATAGCTGGACATTCCCACCATCAAAACTGGCTGCAATCTTTCAACTGACTTAACCCACATGCAACATAGAAATTGCACCGTCTTTGCACATATTCACAGCCATGTTTTACTCCAATTGTTTCAACAGTATAAAACTCCCTCCCCACATCGAATTTCTGCTACCAGTACATGTTGTCACAGTGAATTAGTATAACTTCATGCACTGAAGCATCCAACTTAGCCAAATAAATCAACCTTCCTTTAATATCACACCAACAGGCAAAATCATTTCTTACTTTGTTCTTCCACTTTATTGATGTCTCTCATAATGGCTCTGAAAAATGGCCTCTGATTGGGGTCATAGTTCATGCACTGCTTCATGAGATCAGCTAGTTCCTTACAGGATGGTGTTACCAACATGAAATGCCCTTCATAGAATCTCTCCTTCTGTAAGGCAAGACAGAAATTCCTCTATGTATTGTAGACCTTAAATTACAGAACCATAATTTAACTACACACCTATCATAAGACACTTTCCAGGATAAATCGGATTTTGATCTCTCTCAAACTTTTTAGGAACCCCAGGCTGGTGAGAGAAGAGGAGCAGGGCAGAGGGAGCAACCAGTCCTAACGTATGGCTGGGAGGAATGGGGAAAGGAAATAGGAATGGGTCACCAGGCATTAAGGGAGGGTGGAAGAAAGAAAGGAGAAATCCCAGCATGAAAGAGAACTATGACAAATGAAGAGACCCCAGCAGGGTATTGTTGGGAAGGGGAGGGAACCCTGTCTACCTCAGTGAATTGTTTCAGATAGGAATGATAGAACAGTTAACTGACTGAATGAAAGTGCTTAACCGATTTAACTTAGATCCCATTACCGCACCATAGCCCTGGGGCCCAGTCCGTTGGCCCTTCTGCAGCTGGGGCTGCTCCAACCCGGCACAGCTGCGGAAGTTAACTAACAAGGGCTAGTTAACCAGTTCACATACTGGTAAGCCTCATACTTCCGGTATGCCTACTGGTTAACAGTTTAACATCCCTAGTTTCAGACTACAGGAAACCAGTGTTACTGGAAGAGCTCTGACTGAAGGGATAAATGGTTGGGAGTAAGGAGGGGGCTGTGTGTTAATTAACATGGGAGAGTCAGTGATTGCAATCAGCTATTCAAAAAAGAAGCTGTGTTATTTCAATTAAATCCAGACACAGAGGTGACTACTGATCATAGGGGCTTCTGTTTGAATCTTGGGAGTGGCTTTAAAAAACATTTAAATCAATGAAACCTGTGAAAGACAAAATGGAGGGTGAAATTTCCATCTGGCAGTATCAGTGAATGCAGTGCTCTGCTCTGCTGCATGCCCTTCTCTCTCTCACATGCAGTGTGCTGGCTGGGTCTTGCCCTCCTCCCCAGAGGTAACTAAACTTAATTGAAACTTTGTGTCTTACTTGTCCAGTGCTTCAGGATAAACTGTGATTTAAATGTCATATATGCAACCCTTTGACATGGGTGCCTCAAAAGCTCCTCCATTAGCACTAATCACTCATGACAGAAATCCCACCTTCAAAAAGCTGATACAGGGTCAGTAGTTAAGCATTAGTTATTTCTCTTTGTCGTCAGGCAAAGCCCACTTCCTACTTTACACTTGAAATATTCTAAGCATCCTCCTCCTCCTCAGCAAACTCTCCTATACTGAATTTCTACATGGGATTTAAATAGTTGGATGAACAGAAAATACTCAACTACTGTCAACTCTAGTATGGAAACAGTAAGTGCACAAAAGAAGATGCATTTCACACATCAAGGTCAGACTTAGGAAACAGACTTTTACCTCTGCTAACGTCTTATCTTTCAGGGGTGCTTCTCCATTGTAGCAGATTTCCCACAGTGTTGTGCCAAAACTCCACTTATCTGCTGCAACACTTAAATTTTTTGAATCTTCAACACATTCAGGTGCAATCCAAGGGATTCGTTCAACACATTCTTACATAAAAGATAGAGTTTACATGAGCTGGAGTTCAGTTTAACTAAGGGCTAGAAAAATTGCCAATTTATTCAGCACAGTAGTGCACTACAGCCATTTAATAAATCAATAGTTTTCACAAAAAGTAACTGTTACCCTTCTGGAGCAGAAACCTGGCTTTGGAGAATTGTTTAATCTGCAATCCTTCTTTTCCCCTCCGCCCACACCCAATTCACAGTATATCCCTATGATTTTGGGAAGTTTTGGATGTGCCCTAAGAACTTCTCAAAACTGGGATGCCTCTTTCACTAGCTCATTAAACTCGGTGTTGCTTGTTATAAATTGTATGTGCATGCAGAATGCAAAGCTAGCAAAATCTAGCATGCATGCAACATAGGCAACAGTTCACATTACTACATGCATCCACAAAACTGTACACAATGGGAGAGAGTGATACCGGGCTCTGAACTAAGGATGTTAAAGACTAGTTGACTATCCAATAAGCATTTGCTTATCAGATAGTCTTTTGACTAGTCGACATCCTCCCCTCCCCTTTGCTGCCTCTGTGAAACAGACAGAGGAAACGGTGGGTGGGGACTTCAAAGTTCCAGCACTGCACAGCAGTGCTGCCACTTGGAAACCCCAAAGTGGACGCTGCACAGCTGATCCATGGATCAGCTGTACGGCAGGCTGCCCCTTTAAAACACCATCTCCACGCAATTCAAAAGGGCAGCCATGGAGCCCAGAGTCAGGTGGGGAGTCCCCCGATGATCATCGACTCCATGGCTTTGAAAATGCACAAGAGCCCCCACTGGGGATTCTTGTGCATTTCAAAGCAGGCACGCCGCGTGCAGCCCGGAGTCACGGGACTTCCCGCTGGCCCTTGCTGGGGCTCTTGTACATTTCAAAGGAGGAATGCAGAAGTGCCTATCGACTAGTCGATGGAAATTCCGTTGACTAGTCCATTAACTGTATTTTAACATCCTTACTCTGAACTGGAAGGAACTATCTGGTAAATTAATGTTTTCTCTCTTCCTTCCCAAACATAGTAAAATGAGTAATCTGGTTTTATACAGTACCTTGTCTGGATAGCACAGTTATTGGAATTCCTGGGTCACTCAGTTTAATGAAAGGACCATATTCATGGTCAATTCCCTCTCTTGCCAACAGTATATTTTTTGTGCAAACATTCCCGTGTACCAACTCTTTATCCTCCTATATGCAAAAGAGGGATACAGTAAATACAACGGTTCAACCAGGTTATGCAAGTACGTGTGTTTATATAGTTCAAGAGTGAGATGTAAAGTATCCAAAGTTGCAGGCCAAGCTCCAAAATATAGCTTGGGAGAAATGCTCCTGAAGCATGAGAAAGGGGTATACTTCACACTTACATGGCACTTCCACCCACATATCTTAATGCACTTTGTAAAAACCATCTCTTTTATGAGGAATGTAAATGAGGGGACAGGGCATTAAGTGATTTGGCCAAGTCAGAGTGAATTCCACTGGCAGCTGTTGCACACTAGTTTTGCAATTTAGAACCTCCCCCCAAAAAAATACAGGAGTACTTTTCCTTAACTAGCATGCTACCTACTTACCAAGTAGCTTAATGCACTTGCCAGCTGTTTGGCTACTTTGAATTTCCAAGGAGTTGTAAGAACATCACTTTTCCGGTGCATAAAGAGATCCAGTGGTCCAAATTCAACAAACTCTTCAACCATGATATCTACAGAAATAGAGTCCTGTGTTCAGTATGTAGCAACAACAGTACTATGTCTGAAATAAGCCACAGGGCAAAACTGGATCTTTCATGGGAGAGATGCATGTTTGGAGCTTCAGCACCAAACCAGTGTGTCCGTATTAATGCATCTTAAGCAAAATCACTGCTTGTGAAGAATCTGAATTAAAGTGTTCCACTGGCTACATAATAGTTTCAACATTCCATATCCCCATCATCCCTGACTTGGGAGGTAACCCAGCCAATGAATGGGGAGGCAGTGCCTAGTCTGGTCTCCAAGGAAACCATTCTTATAAACAGGGTTTGAAGATAGGTGCCATTAGGAGAAATTCTCTGCTATGATACAAAACTGAGGAAAAGGCTCCTCATTCCAATTCTGCCACCACTTTTATGTATTGCAGTAGTGCCTCAGGCTTCCAGTCACGGACTAGGACCCTGTTGTGCTAAGCACTGACCAAAAAGACCAGCCTTTCCTACAATCGCTTATGTTTTCACATCACAAGAGCAACTGATAGATGCTAAATGAACTCACTTTCTACATCACGGACACAGACCCCATGAAGGAAGACGATGTGTTTGTGGCAAATTTGCCTCATCATGCTTGCTGTCTCAAAAAATGCCTGTTAGAAAATGAAATATTAAGAGTGAATACCAGCATTTCAGGGCTATCCTAAAGCAAGGCATGTATGGAAACAACTGAATGTGATAAAATTCAGGAAAGACCAATATGTCCCTAGTAACATGCAGGATCAACATAGAATAAGAGTGCTACATAAATACCACTGCAGCAAAGGTGCTATCATTTAAACTGAATGTACTGTCCCAACTCTTTAGCCAAGGTTTTTAAAACGTCTTATCGATATTAAGCCTCACCATCCTCCTATAAAACAGTGGTTCCTCTTCACAAGCAATAAACTGAAGCACAAAGAGGTTAATTGATTTCCTGGGGCTACACAGTGAATCAGTGTCAAGAGTTGGTGATGGATCCTAGCATTCTGACTCCCAACCTACTGCATACAGGACCAGGGCCTAATATAGTGGTTAAAAAAAATATGTATCCCAGTGCAGTTCACTGGGACTACATAAGAATAGCCATATGGGTCAGACCAAAGGTCCACCGAGTCCAATATCCTGTCATCTAACAGTGGCCAATGCCAAGTGCCTTGAGGGAATAAACAAAACAGATAATCATCAAGTGATAAACCCCATCACTCATTCCCAGACCTGACAAACTGAGGCTAGGGACACAATTCCTGCCCATCCTGGCTAACAGCCATTGATGGACCTAACCTCCTTGAATATATTTAGTTCTTTTTTACTGTCTTTGCCTTCACAACTTCCTCTGGCAGGGAGTTCCATGGGCTGACTATAAGTTGTGTGAAGAAATACTTCCTTTTGTTTTAGACCTGCTGCCTATTAATTTCATTTGGTGACCCCTAGTTCTTGTATTCTGGGAGAGAATAAATAACTTTTCCTTATTTATTTTCTCCACAGCAGTTATGATTTTATAGACTTCTATCATATCCCCTCTTAGTCATCTCTTTTACAAGATGAAGAGCCCCAGTCTTATCAATCTCTCCTTATATGGAAGCTGCTTCATAACCCTAATAATTTTTGTTGTCCTTTTCTTTTCCAACTCCAATATATCTTTTTTGAGATGAGGCAACCACGTCTGCACACAGTGGGCAAGATGCCATGGATTTAGAGAGGCAATATGATATTTTCCGTCTTATTCTCTATCCCTTTCTTAAGGATTCCCAACATTCTGGTTTTTGTTGTTGTTTTTTGCTTTTTTAAAAACTACTATTGCACATTGAATTGGCTTTTTCAAAGAACTATCTATAGCAGTGGTTCCCAAAGCGGGCCTGCCAGGTCATTTATGTGCGCCCACCTAGTGACCAGGGCCAGCCCGAGCCATTCTTGCATCCCGGGCGCCCAGTGCGTGCACAGCCTCCGCCCCGGACACGCGGCGCATGCGCGGTGCCACCCCCGGACACGCAGGACATGCACAGCCCCTGCCCCGGGTGCACGGCAGCCCCAAAAGGTTGGGGACCACCCATCTATAGTGACTCCAAGATCTCTCTCTTGATTGTTAACAGCTAATTTAGACTGTCATTTTGTATGTATACTTGGTATTGTGTCTTCCAATACATATTACTTTGCATTTATCACAACACTGAATTGTGTTTGTCATTTTGTTGCCCACTCACCCAATTTTGTAAGCCTTTTGAAACTTTTCGCAGTCTGCTGTGGACTTAACTATCTTGAGCAATTTTGTATCATCTGCACACAATTAGTTATCTCTCTCCATTTTGAAAATTGACCATTTATTCCAACTCCTTGTTTCCTAACTTTTAAACAAACAGTTACCAATCCAAAACAGGACCTGCTCAAGCATCCCAGCTTACTTTGCTCAAGAGCTTTTGATGAGGGACCTTGTCAAAGGCTTTCTGAAATCAAAGAAAGGCTAAAATTTAGACTGCTATTTTGAGAAATTACTTGTTTATGGGGAACAGGGCCTGGATTTGTGACTCATCTGAAAAAACTGAACTTCTGATTGAGTTATGTTGATCTTGTCAGGTGCATGAGTATTGCCAGCGAATGCTATAGGTAGCATTTTGCATGCAAAATGATAGCCTTAACTTTTCAATTCCCTCAGTTTTGTGTGCAAACTAATATTACTTAAATAGTGAAATCTGAGCATGAATAATGTGGCATTAGCTATTTGTCTATATACTATAAACTGAGAAGAGGAAGAACTTGCCAAAGAAATGTCTCTGTGACTGGGGTCCAAGACTTTGAGGAGGACTTTTTTCTCTTTTTCATCCTGGTACCCGTCATTCTCATCTGCCTTATAATTGAGAATCCCAGAGTAAATTTGTGTTCTTGTTCCTCTTCCAAGGTGTTCTTCCTAAGATGTAATGCATAACCAGAACTGTCAAACCAAGACATCAAGCAAACAGGCACAGAGCTACAAAAATACTGAAAAACGGTCCTTGCAACCCCTCAACATTTTCTATTCCATTTGCGTTAATATATGCATATTTCACCATTGTCAATCTATCACCAAAGAGAAACTAGTAACATTTTACAGTAAGTCCCAAATCATTATTCCTCCTTTTGATATTCTCTGAAAAGGGTATTTTTACCATGCTGAACTAGTTTACCATTAATGAGCTGTCAGATATTAGATCTACTCTAAAACCAAACAAGTCCCCCATGATGTGTTATTAGAATGAATAACAAATGAATTAATGATGACTAGCCTCTTGTTTAAGAACGGGATGACATGTATGTGTAACTTTAAAATGTTACCAAGAAAGAAAGTAATATCTGGGTGGAACTCATTCTCAGGGATATTAGAAAAAACAGACGACATGTTCCCTCAAATTTACAGAGGATTCACCTTAGTTCTTTAGTGGAAAGTATGCATGTGCTGATCTCTATCCTCCTCCTCCTCCCTCCCCACAAATTACAGTATACCAACCACTATCTTCTGTGGTCCCTGAGACCACCTGAAAATTTCATTTAAAAAAAAAAAAAAAAAGCATCTTTAATAAAATTTTCCAGAGCATCCATGTGACACAAAGAAAAAAAAAACCCAACAACCTATAAAGTAGTGAGTCTTGAAGGTCAGGTCTATAGATTTGGGCTCATGGTGTGTGTGTTCTGTGGCTACAAAATAACAGGGGTGATGTTTCTTCTCCAGTTAGAGCTCTGGCAGGAACAACGACACTGCTATTTGTTGATCTGAGCTGGACACTATGTCACTTTGTATTTTTTTGGTGGATTAGGTGTAGGGGTTCCCCCCCCCCCCCCCCTTGCGGTTTCAGACAATTTCCTTTGGCTGTACAGACATATTCCATTAGTCAAATAAATCCCATTGACTTTCCAACAAACTTACACTTCTAGACCCAACCTCTATGTCACTTCTACTCCTGAATCACTTAAATGCTCCCCTTATTTCTTACTGGGCAAGATCTTGGGTCTTGGATCCGGAATTCTCTACAGAATCCGGCCTTTAAAAATATAGGGCCTTTACAAAATGACATGGGTTAGAGTATACAGGTGATAAAATTAAGTTTTCTTTCCAAAAATCAGTCCAGGAAATGTGTTTTTCTTTACTGATTGAAAAACATGTACATAGGGTATTTCCCTCCTGCTATGCTAGTACATATAGCATATCACTGAAAAAATGCTTGAGTTCACAGCGGGTGGCTTAATATACCTTTCAAACTAATAGTATTTTTAAAAAGTCTCTTTTGGGGAAGAGAAAACTCTGTCGTTGAAATTTCATGTTATTTCTCTAGCAATGAAGACTTATCTTCTTGTTTGATTATACTCAGCAACTGAAAGGATCAGCTAAGCAAACTGACATTCAGCAGCTACCTACCTGCAGAATTTCTTCTTTGAGGATTCGATGGAAACTCAGTTGACCTAGAGGGCAAACAGGATGCCATTCCTGGCCTTTCTTTGTTGCCACTAACAAGTTTGAGATTTCTGGAGAGTGGACAGGAAAGGGAGAAAACATTCTTTGATGTGGTTTACTTTTTAAAAAAATCTTAAATTTGCAATTCCTTACTTCTAATATTCATCCAATAATGGAGTTTTTATCTTCCATATGCAATCTGCAAGCCAATATTCCTAGATAGTTTTAGGGAAAAATCTTAAAATGTGATTATTCGGTCAGATGACTTATCCTAGCATTTATCACTTGGAAGAGAATCCAATAAAAAACACCCTTTTTTAAATTTCTCCATCACAACATTAGGCACTGTTGCTCTGTATAGCACTGCACTGAAAAATATACAGGATACAAATGTGCCTGTTAAGCACTGACTTACATTGGGGTTACAACTCGACAATAGCTCAAGCAGAGCTCTGGAAAGCAAGTACAGGTTGAACCAACACTTCTACTGCTTACTGAGCTGTTAGAGGATATTTATGGGAAAATTAGAGCTAACTAACAGCACAGAACACTGAAGACTAGGTCTGGTGGTTATAAACAAACTTTATGGGACCGCAGGAAACTTGGCCACACTAAGGTTATTAAGTATTGTGTAAATGACTAATCGAATAGTCAACGCATTTTTGCATCAACTATTTGATTAGCCAATAGGGTGCCTCTGCCTTTGAAGGGGCTATTGCTACACTTCAAAAGCAAAAGTGCTGAAGCCCAGGATCATCTGGGGACTCCCCCACTAACTCTGGGCTCCAAGCGGCACTGCCACTTTGAAGTACCCACCTCTTCCCCTCTCCCCCACCTTGCTGCCTCTATCTAAGTTGACCTCTATCCTGTCGACCAGTCCTTAACATCTCTAAGCCACACTCTTGAAAAGTGGACATCAGGCAAACAAACCATTCTGGACAATGGATGTTTCCGGACCAGAGAGTTCAACCTGTACAAAATGTTTCCTGGTGTTTTCTTTGTGCTCTCTGGCCACCCATCAAGTGGATACAACCTGCACTCCATTCTGAAGGCAGACAGATTTGCTGGCCTATACCTAGATGGCGAGATAAAGCCAGAGCTGCTCCTTCCCCTCACCAATCAGAATGTCTTGCATTGTAGGGAATGCTAGCAGTCCCAATACCCAGACTGCAAAAATGTGACTTGTCCTTGAAAGGAGGGGAGAAATCCAGGCTCAGTATACCCTCTTTCTCCCTCATGCATCTGTACACAAAAAGGCTACAATCTGATTCATAAAATATATCTACATATGTGGTCTTCTTAAAAGTATGCAAGTATAAAACACCAGGATGTGGGTGTCAGATGCACGTCCCCCCTTTTTCACCGCACTACAGGGAGTGGTCTCAAGGCCATATTATGACTCTGCATTCTTACAATACTTTCGGAGAGGTCTACAGATGGAAGACTGAAAAATTATTTTAATTTCATTTCTTTATCAACCTAAATTTTTTATTTTTAAAAAGGCAATAATGTGGTAGAGAGAGAACAGTGAACCTAAGGAATCTTGCCTCAATGTGCAACCAGAGTTCCTATTAAGGTCAAAATACAAATTTACATTTGTGTAAACTGAGGCAATTCTGATTATGTCATTGGAAATCTCAGATGAGCATGAGAGACAAGTTGACTCTCATATTAGAATTATTACAACTGCAGGAAGTAACTTACGTGTTTAACAGTTAAATCTTTAATTATTTTAATCTCTCAGTGCTCAAGACAATTATTGTTACTTTAGTTTATGAAGCATTGTCAATGTTACATAAGCAGTGCAACATGCTGCTTATATGTACTAATTATGCTTCTCTCAACTTTTCACAAACTAAACACGTAGCTACTTTATCTTAGTTATTCCCCTTATTCTAACAGGAAACCATTATCTGATCAACAGGACTTTACCACGTCCTTCCTCTTTCATAAAGTTTAGCTACAAGTAATTTGTATGCTTTTTTATAAAACGATTTTAATGAAATTCACAACAATACTTCACCAACTGCTGTTCTACTCCCACAACCAATCTGAAAGCAAAGTCTGAAATCCTTGCTAAGACAAATTCCCACTGACTTCAAAGTGTGTTCTATCTGAGTAATGACTTCAGGGTTTGCCCCTCTTTCTCTCTTAATTATTATTACTAACACTAGATCTCAAGAGCAAGTGATATTTAAACAAAAAGGTCATAATATTACCATAATATTTCACCCAGCACTCTTTCTTTGACAAAACAAAGATCACAGTGGATGCAGCACCTTTACTTGATGCATGTGTCTTTCGGGGGTGGAGGGAAGCCCCTAAATGATTACTACTTACTTTTTACAATTTAAGAGGTATTTAAACACATAACTCAATGAGTCAGTTGTGACTTTTTAAACCTCAAGGAGCTATATTAAAATTAGTCATCTACTGTTGATACTACATGGCTGGTTATTTACATGCTGAAGGCAATGTGCTACTTAGTTTTAAAACTCTGCACAAATTATACTAGTAATTAACAACAGCTCTTGAACATCTTGTGCTGAGATAACAGTTCCCAAAAATAATTTGTTCATAGTACCTGCAGTATTACACTATACATAAGTCTTTTTTATTAAAAGGGTTTTTTTTCCCCTGAAACAAATAGGGTTTTTTTTTTTATATTTGTCTGTCAAATATTAATTTAACAACACAGAACAAAATGCAAAGTCCCCCTGTGGTCACAAATGCCTTCACCTTCTCCAAAACTAAGGCTGACGCGAGAGTCCTTACCTTTTGGTTTTGGCTGGCAGCATCTCTTCAGCGTAAAGCTTATGTTATCCGTTCTAAGGGTCTGTCCCTTCAAGTGATCCATCAGTTCTTTTAAAGATGGGAAAAACTTATTTGGACCATGAAGGAAGCAACCATCTTTTGTCACCTCGATCTGGAAGTTCTTGTACTGGACTGACTCATTTAGTCTTTGCTATTTAAAGGGGAGGGAAGCGAAATGTTAATCACAAAAATGAAACAATAGTACATAGCGCTGCTAAGCACATCTGAAGCCAAATTCATCCCTGATAAAAGTTCAAAGAAGCCAATGAAATTAAACAAGGGAATTAAACCAATTTAGTATCATAAATCTACCAATGTAAAATTAAAGCCCCTGCTTTTAAAGTTACATTTAGTAAAAACATTTCCGCAGTCCTTAATGGAGGAAATGTGATCTGCTAATGTCATGTGTAGTGATGTAGCTGCACTGGTCACAGGATAGTAGACACACAAGGTTTATCTTTTTCTGTCGGAGAGACAGACAAACTTTTGAGCTTACATACAGCTCTTCTTCAGGTCTGGGATAACTTCTTGGAGAGAGAGAGAGAGAGAGAGAGAGAGAGAGAGAGAGAGAGACAGAGTGGAACAGATTGTTTAGCATAGTTATCCCTAACAGGCCATTCAACCCAGTTAACACCTCTCCAGTTACAGGGATTGAAAGGGTTGCCACAATACATGGTTATAGACTTGTAAGGAGCATAAACCCAATGTTTCTATTCAGTACCTGATTTTTAGTAACTAGAAAGTTATGAATTTGAGCTCCCAGCCCCATCTTTTTAAAGTGTTTCACAGGTTTCAACTGAAGATGAGGACTGATACGTCAGATCCACAGTAACCGCATTGTAATAAGTGCTCACCCACAGGTGATTTCATGTTTGTGTCTTATTTTTCACTAAAAGTTCATTAGAGAGGGTCATTATGGTCTGATTTCACCAATGTAGTAACTGGCATATTTCGTGCACTCAATGAGGTACACCACATGCGACTGGTGCACACAAGATCATAAATCTTTAATTCTTATTGGTTAGTTGACTATTCTATAGTCCCCGGAAGTGGGGCCGACAGCCAGTGTGCTTCAGCCACACTCCCAAGGAACCCCCTACCACTCCACACTGCTGCCCCTGTATCAGAGGTAGCAGTGTAGGGTGCCAGGTGGGAGCTGATCTGCAAGGGGAGCCAGTTTAAAAACCTGCTTTCCTCATGGAGTGGCCACTTCTCAGAGACAGCAATGTGGGGTGGGTAGGGGAAGGGGGAGGGTCTAAGCTCTCCGACTCAGCAGGAGTCAAAACTGAGCCAGGCTGCCTGCCTGCCCACCTCCTATTACACTTTAAAATGCAGAGCCACAGAAGAGGTAGATTCTGGACCCTTAACAAGCCAGGACTGAGCTGGACTGCTGGCCAGCCTGCTAAAAAATTTACTAGCAAGGAGGAGAGAAGTGAGGAAAAGCATGTAGTCTATAGCACTAACCTATAAGCTTTTGCTTATCAGTTAATTGACTACTCTATTACATCCCTAGCCAGTTATCCCCATATATATGTAATATATCTGATATAGTTAAAAGCCAGACTGAATATAACAGACTTTTTGGTGTGTCTGAGATGGTTTCTAGCTCTATGAAAGTAGGTGTGATGATCTCTGGGTTTCTTATATATTACTTGCCTGTAGGGTTCTATTCTTGAAGCTGATATTGGTGTTCAAGAAGCTGCTGCTAGTATAACAGTGTTTTAGAAAGAATGTAATGGATGGTTAGTGATTGTTGAAATTGTGGTGGAAGTCTCAGGGAGTTTGTCATCTGTCCAGAGGACAAAAATATCAATGTATCTCAGGTATAAAGTGATTTCATGATGCACGTGTCCAGAAATTCTTCTTCAAGATAGCCTATGATGTGGTTGGATTATTGGGAAGTCATCCTTGTACCGATGGCTGTTCATAGACAAAGTTTTTCTTACGGAATGTAAAACTGCTATGGGAATTATCAATAATTTTACCATCCTTGCAGCTGTTACATCCTCCATTTCTATTTTCAAGTATTACTCACTGATGTCCTTACTTCTCCTACCATTAGTTTTGGCTACTTTTGTTATTTAAGGATATGCCCTCCACTGCAGCATTGCTTACTCCAATCTGAAGATAAACCCTGCAGAAGAGGTTACTGTATGAACATTTACTTGCCCCATTCAATCTCCTGTATGTACCAGACTTAAGTTATTTTATATTGTAGAATTCCATTTGCCATTTTCCTCCCAATTTCCTAGATAGCTCATATTCTTGAGTGGTTTTGGACAACACTTCCCAGTTCAGTACTTTTAAGTGTTCCATCCATCCACTTACTTATATAGTTACCCACCACTGTAGCATTTTAGCACCATTATCTCCTGCACACAGTACCGTTCCTTTCTGTAGTTAATTTAACAATTCTGGACCACTTCTGCTTTGAGATTCATCCACACAATTATTACTGAAGTTAGAGGGAGTTGTACATGCATAGCTTTGGGCTCAAGTTTAACTTCCAAGTCCTATTTTTCTCTCAGATTTTTAAATGTTACAAAAATGAGCTGAGCAATAACCCTTGGAGGACCCACTTAATGATTGAAAGTCTACAACCGATTTTCTATACAGTTTATCACACGGTTAACTTCCTCCAAAATACTGTAGGGTGTTAACTTCCTGTGCGATGCCATGTCCAATGTCTCATCTATAGTTACAGGAAACAACCCCCATTTAATGTCCTTATCTCTTGTCCAGAAATCCACCTAAAGAAACCTTTTCAATAAAGTGAGGAACATTGACAGTCACTCTTCTGTCTACAGACCTTTGAGCACATATTTAATCCAACAAAAGCAATTGACGATTTGGATCTGACACACACATACCTTTCTGCTTGGAGTCCCAGTGGGAATTCTGTATCAATGGGACCAATCTCATAAAGATACCATAGGTACCCCTGGAGATTTTACCTGTGAGTAAGTAGGCTGTCATGGCTACTGGGGCTAGTTGTTAGTCACATAGGACCACATGCACTAAGCTACCAAATTACATGTATATGGATCCTCGGGAGTTTATAGCCTTTACTTGACTCCAACATCTTGTGTGAGGCTGGTAACTTCATTACTGATATGTCCCAACATACCTGAGAGATTTCAGAACATGTCACTGTCATGAGGATGTGATTAAAGTCTGTACAGCTCCACCTCAGCACATACATCCCCTCCTCATTCCCTTCTTGTCTTAATTTGTTGATGGCATACTCTGTGCTGAAACAGTGAATACAAGAATGAGAATAATGGGCAAATGAGTAGTTACATTCCAAATGTCCTCTTAAAAGCTACTTTGTCTTTGGAACAAGAATGAGCAACTGCATTATACAAACAGTTGTACTAATAAAACATACTTTATACCCATGGTGTTCAACACTGTAGCCACATGTGACTATTTGACTGGTTGAGAGTGGCTACTGCTGTAGCAAATTAGTCACAATAATGGCTACTGCTTCAGAACTGGTTGGATGCCACGGCTTTATGCTACATACTGGCTGTGGCTAGACTGGCCAGTTTTTCCGGAAAATCATCCGCTTGAATTTCCGCAAAAGCACTGACAATCTCATGTAAGATTGTCAGTGCTTTTGCGGAAATACTATGCTGCTCTCATTCGGGCAAAAGTCTTTTTCTGAAAAACTTTTGCGCAAGAGGGCCAGTGTAGACAGCAGAGATTTATTTTCCGCAAAAAAGCCCCAATCGTGAAAATGGCGATCGGGGCTTTTTTGCGGAAAAGTGCGTCTAGATTGGCCACGGATGCTTTTCCACAAAAAGTACTTTTGCGGAAAAGCGTCCTGCCAATCTAGACGCGCTTTTCCTAAAATGCTTTTAACAGAAAACTTTTCCGTTAAAAGCATTTCCGGAAAATCATGCCAGTGTAGACGTAGCCACTGTGTATACAGCAGGCGTGGAGAACCGTTTGTGTTGGGAGCTGCTGACCCACAGAAAAATCAGTTGGGGGGTCTCTCAGAAGTGAGAAGCAAAGTGAAAAGCTCCAGCCTGAGAAGGAGAAACACACTTCCCACATTCACCTAGGGATCCCCAGCTAGTAGATTTTGTGTGCCTCAGCCCTGCAGGTGGGTGGGTTAGAACGCCAGTGCAGGCTCCCCAATTCTGAACCTCAGGATCCATCCCCCATGCCGGAGGTTCCCCAACTCTGGTATACAGCTTAATTTGTTAGCAAGCTTCCAGAACTGTATGCAGGTAATACCTTTGTTGTCTGTTTGTTGCACCTTCAAATCTCAAAGGACTACACCTAACTGCAGAGACACGGCTTCCGTTATATTTTCATATGTAGTTGTAGCTTTACTACAAGTGATGCGTATGTATTATGGGCTCTTATTGACACTTTTAAATCTAAAATAAAAGTATGCTTTGTGACTGGGAACATAAGAGGAAAAAACAATGGGATGGCAAAAATAAGAAATGTGATAATTCCTTCAACTACAATAAAAGTGAAAAAAATACAACCTTGCATTTGCATACAAGGATTTCCTGGCTGAGGTGGACTGATTCACTTCACAATTTGTTAAACTAGGGCAGTTCAATTAGTAATAGTTCTGCTCTACTGCAGACACCGCTAAAGTGCTCTGCAAACATTAATGAATCAAGCCTTAACCTGGTCCTGTGAAATGGATAAACATTTTCATTTTACAGATGAGTAAAATGAGATTCAGAGAATCAGTTCCTAGTTACCTCATGCAGTCAGTGGCAAAGCAAGAAGTAGAACCCAGGAAGAAGTGTTAGTTTGGACAGGAAATCAGGATTCCTGGGTTTATAGTTTAAAAAAATATTTTAGATTAAGAAAATAGCACAAAACGAAAGTACAATCTACACATAAGAACAAAATGTGCATGTCACCTGTAATGGCCTGCGGAACTATGAAAATAAAATGTCTGCCATCTCTGCAGACAAGAAGGGCTCTATGCAGATGACAAAGGCACTGCGAGCAAGATACTTACAAGCACTATGCAGTGGCCTTACTCTGCTCCACTTGAGGTGTTGGGAGTACTGCCATTTTATTGTTCCTTTCAATAACAGAAGAGTTAGGCTAACAGTAAATGCTTCTGTAAATCCTACCCTATAGTTTCAAATGATGTACACCATATGCTGTTTTCTGTCTCTCCCATCTCATCAACATTTAAAAAAAAAATCTCAAACTCAACACGCAGGGAAACAGTTTGGGAACTGGAAAAATAAATGCTGTTTTCAGCAGTCTTGTTGGTTATCAATTAAGTCATCCTAAAATCCTTTGCAAGCAAATCCCTGCTACTCAAGAACAACTCCTAAACTTCTCAGAATTTCTCACTTAAATCAGGATGAGGTTTTGGTTTTAAGGAGGCTAAATATCTACAAAAATCAAGATAAAAGCACTTAAACTAACCAAATGGGTCCATGACAGCCATTTCTTATGTTGTGCACTATCAAAGGTGGAGCTACATCAGTGCAGAGATAGAGGTGGGCATCTGCAGTAAGTCTGAAGTATCCATCTACTAAAGATGCAAATGACAAGGCCTCCTCGTGTGAAGAAAGTTTTATTTCCTAGAACAAAAAAGAATTATTACAATTTGGTTAAAAAAATTAATAAAGGAGGGAAGGAGAGGGTTGGTTAAAGTCTGGGAAAACATATGCGATTGTTTTTACCCAGGATTTTTCAGTGGGATCGACAAAAAGTTATCCAAGTAACCACGGCATAAGGACATATTTAGGAGGACAACAGTGATCATTATATATCCCCAGAAGTTACCATGGGTGAGCAGAGTCTGGCACCCATGTGGGTCCCTCTGAGTCAAAAAGATGAGAATGCGGAAAGGCCAAATTGGATTTAGAGTAACACAGGTTTTAATAATTCCTTTTTAAATTCTGGCATCCACACCAGGAAAAAGTCATGCACTCCCACTTAGGAGTGCCATTATTTCTATGCTTACTGATGCGCTTCTCCTGCCTTTCCCTATGTGATCTTTCTCTTGACCTCCTCTCCCTCCATGCTCATTGCTGTTTCTCTTCTTTCTTCACGCTGCTTTTACTGTGTCAAGATTCAGACAATGTCACAAACAGTTAACTAGAAGTGTGGTGGGCACATACTGGGAGCTTGGATAGAGATAACAAGTATGATGTGGAGAGTGACACATACATGGCTACATCACTTTGGGGGAGCAAGCTGGTGTCGATCGATTTGTTCTGCAAAACAGTGCACTCATCTTTTTTAGGCACAAACTGTTGATATGCCAATGTTTGTTACCCATTAGATAATTAACAGGAGTGATTGTTTAATGACACCATGTCTGCCCACCAATATTAATACTTTCTCACAAGCTCAAGCTTTCACAGGAAAAGAGCTCACCACAGCTAAGCCCTTACCATCTTTTCATGATTCTGCTTGTTAATATTGATTGTGGACTCCTTTATGACAAGTAGTGTGATTTCAGGAAAATATGAAAAACTGTTCCACTCCTCTCGGCTTTTGTTTTTTTCTTCACCTTTCCTGTTTTTGCTGTCCATTTTTTTCCTCTTCAGTTTATTATGTTTCTCTCTTTCAGGCTGTATAACCTGCAAACATTTTGGAATGAAAGTACCAGATGAATATAAATTTCATGACAAATTAATCTTAGGGATTTCTCAAACCCTAGATCCAGTGCTTTTTTTGTGACGGTACTTCCCGGCACCTCTAGTCAGAGCTCAACACTTTTTCCTCTGGAGTACCAGCACCTTTTTTTTTTTTTTTTTAAACACAAAAAAGCACTGCCTAGATCAGTCATATCTTTTATGTATACATCATAAAGACATTAATTCTCAAAGAGGCTATTTAGTGAAACACAGGCAAATAAGAGCAAATAACTCATACATTGTGTCTGAGAAATCTCTTGATTCTAACTGGAAGAGGGAGCACATATGGGTACAAGAACCTCAAGTCTGATATTTACATCAAAGTTCATTAAAGAGTGTCATATGTCTCTTAAAAGCCCCTGACACTCTGGGTATCAAAATCACTGTGAAATGCATGTAAAGATGCTATGCAAAGGAGTAATGCATTAATGTTAGAAATTACGTTTTTAAGATTTGTATCAAAGGACTGGCCAACAGCAAAGATGAAAAACAGATTTTCTGACAAACAGAATACATTTATCTAGATGGCTGTTTACATGTAAATACTGTATTTTGTATTTCAATCTGAACCAAATGCTAATATAGGGCTGTTAAAACTTCAGAGAGAAAAAGTAACAGGAGGAAGTAAGCTACTTGACTGAAAATGCTGGAGTAAGCTTTGGGTGAGATATGCTTATTTACACAAGAGATTAACCTGTTAGGTTAGCCTCTCAAAAACATGTTATGATTTTGACTTTGTTTTATTATTGCACTCACGTACTATGCTCAATACAGGGGCAAGTGGTCTAAGATAAAACATATAAATTGAGGTACACTGTTCCTTTGAGAACAGGGGATCTGGGATCCTGTGATCAGGGGTTGGATTCTATAGGGGGTTAACTCAGAAAGGACTCAGGGCCTAAGTCCTTCTGTTGTCAACCTGCAAGGCAAAGATAGGCCTGTGTAGTCCAGGACAGAGTGCTTAAGTGGCTGACAGGCTTGTTGTGTTAGGACAGGCCTGCCAAGCCACTGGATCCAGCCCGCAGAGGCAGCAGGGAGCCCCAGACAGACTGCAGGGCTCCGTTTCTGTTTTGAAATTGGAGGGGAGGAAGGAAGTTTTAGGAGCCGCCCCGCCTCCAGCACATTCCCCCTGGCCGGTTACTGGCAGAAACCAGCCAATGCGAGCTGCTTGTTAGAATAATCGGCAGCTAAGAAGAATCATGCCCCCTTCTGTGCTCAGTTATTCATCAAGCACATGGCCAGCCAGGCAGGCAGGCAGGCAGACTGGGAAACATTGTAAGCTCTGCAGAACAGGCAGGCAAGTTTGGCAGCTGACAGGTACATCTCTTGGCCACAGCCTGCTTCTGGCACCCCAGTCCTTTCCTGCCCCAACTCTGCCCCCCCCCACCATAGCCAAACCCTCTGTCCCCCTCTTATACCCATAACCCCTAAGCACCCCAGTCTCCTGCCCCAGATCACAATCCCCTCCTACCCTAGGTGACATCCCAAACCCCTACACTCCACTTCCCTGCCCTAGGTCACAACCACCTGCTTCATCCCAACTCCCTCTCAGATTCCAGTCTCTCTCCCTTACCCCAGTCCCTTACTCCAAACTCCATTAATATCATGAAGGAGTACAGCCCTCAACCACTTTCCAAAGTCTTGGAGTGGCCCCCCATCAAAAATTATTGCCCACCCCTGTGTTAGGGACTTAAATATCCAGCTGTACAGGCAAGACTCCCTTGCTATGGAGAAAAGTGGTAAGAAAGTGATTCACAGCTCGGATTCCAGGTGGTGTGTCATACATTCTAACTAGTATTGCCCACAATTAATTGTGCAATATTTGGCATGTCAACCTCTCTTCCTCCATCAGTAAGGCAGAAATAATGCTATCTAAGGGCAACAAAGGTTAGCTCATGCCTGAAAAGTAATTAACAAACATTACAAAAACTCAGTTCAAAACTCAAGAGCCACACTCTCGTCTCAAAGCACAAGGTCTTCATTGTTATCTATTGCAATTCTGTGTGAGAGTTACATGTAACATACATGTGGACAATATTATAAAAATCATTTTAAAGACCATTACTAACCCACCGTGTTTTTATGCCATCAAGTGACAGGTTTTTCATGGCTCACTTGCCAAAAGGAAGGAGCACATTCCCTGTCCTCTGCACTCCTGCACATGTATCTTCCCACTTAGTTATATTTTATATAACTTTTTTCAATTATTATTAGTGTTGAGGTTGTAGTTCCCAGACTGTGCCAAGTACTTTCCAAACCCAAAGAACAGGCCAAAAATGCAGACCTATAAGGCAGTTTGCCATAGCCCTTTGCTCTCCATTGGACCCCTTTTTTAACTGTGAAGCTGTGTGAGGTTATAGGACAGATTAAGGATGTTAAATATCAATTAATTTACTAGTCAAGTAGCCAATGGAATTTCCATCGACTACTCAACTAATTGATAGGCACTTACACATTCTTCCTTTGAAATGTACAAGAGGCACAGTAGGGGCTTTTGTGCATTTCAGAGTTGGAACTTCGCATGCTGCCTGGGGCCAATAGGAAGTCCCTCTGACTCCAGGCTCCACACGGGCATGTCCCCTTTGAAACGCACAAGGCCTCTTGTGCCCTTGTGAAAATGTACAAGGGCTCTGAGGCATTTCAGAGGGGCAGCGTTGTATGGAGCCTGAGGTCAGCTATGAAGTGCTGTGGCATTTCAAAGCAGCAGCGCCGCCTGGAGCCCGTACCCCAGGCTGAGAGAGACAGCGGGGGGAAGGGCATGGCAGGGAGGGGGGGCGACTAGTTAACTAGTCCTTAACATCCTTAGGACAGATGTGATTTTCCTAGGGGGCCTATTTAGGAATACTGTATTTGAGAGCAGCATTTAAATAGAACTAATTTCAGGAACACAATTTACAGTTTGAATTGTTTCCATACATGTCAGCATACACATCTTTTATCACTTGGATTAGGGATGTTAAATTTAAATTAACTAATTAAATAGTCGACGCAATTTATATCGACTATTCAATTAGTCAATAGGGTGCATCCATCTTTGAAATGCAGCAACAACCCTTTTAAAGGTGAAAGCGTTGCAGGGAGCACACAGCCAGTGGGCCCCGTGCTCCCCATGGCATTTCAAAGCAGCAGCACCATGGGGAGCCCGGGGTCAGCTGGGGACTCCTGTGCTGATCCTGCGCTCAGTGTGGCACTGTTGCTTTGAAACACTGCAGGGAGCTCGGCGTCAGGTTGCACGCAGCGTTTCAAAGCGGCAGCACCGCGTGGAGCCTGGAGTCAGCTGACCCCAAATTCCATGCAGCACTGCCGCTTTGAAATGCTGTGTGCTGCCTGGGGACACACCAGCTGGCCCTGGGCTGTGTGTGGTGTAACAAAGCAGCAGCGCTGCGTGAAGCCTGGGGTCTGGCCCCAGGCTCCACACAGCACTGCCGCTTTGAAGCACCTCTTCCACATCTCCTCCTCCCCCCCCCTCCACTTTTGCAGCTTCTTTTTGAGAGGCAGCAAGGGATAGGGAAATGATTAGTCAACTAACCTGTTGACTATCCGATAAGCATTTGCTTATCGGATAGTCGACTAGTCATTCACATCCCTAACTTGGATAAGCCCAGAATATCTATACAAATCCCACTTTTGAAATCCTAGAGAGCAATACCTGGCGTGACTGATTTGGTGCAAGTATTAATTTTCATTGTAACTTTTAGCACTCACAAAAGCAAAGAACTAGTGCTGACCAAAAGCAGTCTGTCAGTTTCCTAATGCAATTCTGCCACCAACCTACCACGCCCTTCCTTTCCAAATTAGTAATGACATCATCTTGTCCAAAAACTACTAATTGCTCAAACCACAAGGTTTCACAACACAGAAAAATGTTTGTGACCACTGCACTTTTTCTTCTTCTTCTTATGATCTAAACAAAAGTTTATGACAAGGTTTTCCTAGAAGTAAAAGCTAGTGCAGCCATCTGCAAAGGACTACAGAGTTCTGTTAACCTTTTAAAACAATGCCAAGAATCCTACTAAACAAAGAGTCTGAAGTTGAAACTTCTCAATTAACTAATTTTCTAAATAAGGTTCAAGTTTTTGCAGCGTATAATTTTTGTTATGTCCCAAATTAATCCTCAGTCTTTCTGTCCGTGAATGGACACTCACATTTGGTTTGCGCCTCCACTGTATTCCATTGTTTCCTGTCACCATCACTTCATATTGTGGCATGATCCCATTGTCTCCCAAATTAAATCCATGTTTTTCATTCTCTGTTGAAATCTGCAATGATGAAGTCTCAAAAATTTCTGCTCCATAATGCTTAGTTAAAGTCTCCATTGTTGATAAGTATTTAACCTTCAGATCATGCGGAGAGACACTGCTGTCACAAATGGTTTTATTATTGAACTCCTTAAGGAAATCCTTGAAAACATTATTTATCCGAATTCTCGTTAAGATATTCCTTTGTCTGATGGTCTTATTCAAAGTTTCAGGAATATAGCGTTTGTAACTGGAAAAAAAAACCCAATGGAATGTTAATATTGTTACTTCAATTTACTGTTATAAGACTGCAGTTGGTGTACTGTAAAAACAACTTAGTGAAAATATACGCAGAGTTTCATAGTACATTTAATACTAATGCCACAAAAACAGTTTCATAACACACATGACAACTGCCAATTTTATTCTTGATATAGATAATGTGTAAACTTAGCTGAATACCTCATTCAGATGTAGTAAGTTGTAGGGATCAAGCTCATTAAGACACATAATAATAAAGCATTTATGGGACAGTTAATTAAAATATGTTATAAGAAAGCATTTAAAGCTGAAGTTATTTTTGCCATTACTTTAGACAAAAAATTCTGACCTGTGTGTCCTAAGTCACTAAATCAAATCAAGAAGAATCATGGGTACTCACTATCTTTAGGCACCTATATATGGCCTTACACTTTTGAGAATTTTGTCCTTAACTTTTGCTATAGCCTTTGAGAAATGTATATTTACTTGGGCAATAAGCTAATAAAGCAGTAATCATAATCAAGTAAATGTATTTAATTATACTGCAAACTGTGAAATTAAAACCATAATATACCATTAATTAACAAGCAGTGGTGAGAAAAGCAAATTTTATTTTTTACTACAGTACATAAAACTAAAATGTTAATAGGGAGGCTGTGGAATCTCCATCTATGAAGATATATAAAAGCAGGTTAGATAAACATCTATCAGGGATGGTCTAGATGATATGGATCCTGCCGTGAGGGCAGGGGACTGGACTCGATGACCTCTCAGTGTACCTTCCAGTTCTAGTGTTCTATGATTCTAAACTAGATTTAAAAGGTTATTTTGTTCAATTTACCAATGGCAGACTAACAAGAACAGGTGCTACTAGTTAATCAAGTTGACACTTCTAAATCATCTATTGCTATAACAAACTGACACACTGAAGTTATATGAATTCCATCAATATTCAAGACTTCATGATTGTCCATTTTGCTGTAGCTTCATAAAAGTCACTGTAACCAGTAGGTAACAGAACTCAAGAGTATCTTCCAACTGCATATCCTTACCACAAGAGCTAAAAGAGAATTGCTTAGCAGTAGTAACATCAGGGCTTATATTCGCTGACAGATTAGCTGGGAGAGAGCACCACTTGCCTAGAAGAGGGCAGAAGCATATACAGTACTAAGTGTAGCGTTACCCTGACTAACCTGATATCCTTGGGAAGCTCTGGTAGCTTCATATTTTTCTTGATGGCATAGTGCGAGATTGCAAGGACAGCCATTCCCAGACATTCATTTTCAATTTCATGAACCTCCTGATCATTTTTAGGGTCTCGAACTGGTGCCAGGCACTTCACCAAATCATACTGTCCCTTAATGGGAAGTGAAGAAAAGTTGCTTTAAAAAATTATTGCAATAATCTATCTTTTGCATACCAACAGGTGCAACAAAATCATAGCCGTACACAAGCAGCAGCAGAGCCTTACAAAACAGGAAGTGCTGCCTTCTCCTTCACACAGACACATAAAATGGAACAAACAAAAATGCATCCAGACCAACCTCACTCTACAGCCTGACAAAAAAACGTTTTTTCAGTGGCAGTTTCTGTAGCACAGAAAAGAGATCACGTCCACTGAGACATGTGCCAGTGCCCCAGTGACTTCAGTGACACTCACTGATGTTATTTCAATAACTTTGTCCTTCCTCGCCCCATTCCTGTTTGCTATTCTTTTAGTCACATCTTAAAGATCAGATTGAACTCTTCAGGGCAGTGATACTTTTTCTGACTTTTATGGGAGTTGGGATTTTTAGACTCTACTTTTTTTAAAAAATGGTAGTCCCCCAAAACACAATTTTTGTTAACACAGTAACACTGTCAGATAAGGTTCCGTGGGGTAACAACCCATCCTATAGTTTAATGCACATCCCTTCTCCTTCCTCCCCGCCCCCACAATGACCAAATAAAGTGCCATTAAAAAAAACCCTAAGCATCAAGGTTTTCAAGCAATAGTAACACAGACTATGATACACTATGACATATATATGATTGTTTAATGAACAAAATATTTTGGGGTAATGCCCCCTTTAAAAAAAATCTCTGCCCCATATATTTTTTGCAGTTCTCTTACTTCCTTGAAAAGTGATTTCTCATATGTTCATATTCTGCTGTCGTTAATTTTACATTTTTCTTTATTGTGGTTTCACAACAAAGCAACACTCTGCCATGTTAACATCTCTCTTCAGACTTACCTTGCTTCTAAAAAGGGACAGTTAACTGTGTGAAAGTCACACTTCTGTGTGAAAATTTTGTGGCCACTATAGTTACAATTAATGCCTAAGATTACTATAAAGATGTAAGCAACAAAAAAACATTCTTTGTCTCTGTCCCCCCCCCCCCC